TCTTATCTCTGGAGCAACTTGGTTCTCTCAGTTTATGGGACTTGATGCAGTTTGTCTAGGTTTCCTTAGTGAGTATTTTGGTGCCTTCCTTTATCACTAGAGAACTTAATTAAGCAATGACGACTGCGACCCCGAAGACAACCCTTAATTAAAAAATGAATTTATATTCTCTCTTGAAATTTTTCAATTGTCTAGGTCTGTTCAGAGCTCAAATTTTGCAATCATCAATATCTTGCTCAAGCTAAACACTGGTATGTAATGTCAGTGTTCAATTCCAAATGGAAATATGAAAAATTAGCCACTGTCATTTGCATTCTCCAAAATATGCAAAACATAGTCATTTCATGTTGCTGTTGTACCCAGGACTGCAAAGAAATGAATAAAGATTTATGACACATGTGCATAGCTATTATTCTACTCATTAAACCTTTTGTTTAGTGGCATTCTTGTTGCCGTTGCTGCCATGGTTTGCTTAAGTTCTCTATTACCAGAAGGAGGGTATGGACCAGGCAAACTGACCACAAAAGGTGAGAAATGATTTACCAAAGATATTGTATTTTATTCTATTATATGACTAGGTCTGCAGGTAGGCAAGATAAACCAAATCCTTCACTGTGATTGGCTATCCAAGCAGACAGGTTGGGGTAATTTTGCCTACTTGCCGTTAACTGTAGTTTCCAGCAAGAAAAAGGTGCTCAGTCAAGAAGGCTGGATATTAGGTACTGTAGCTGTGTTCTCTTTTTACGTGTTTATGGCCCTTGACTGTGTCTTAGTACATAAACACTCGCAAAAATGGAAAAAGTTGAGCAAATTATATTAACCTCTAACTAACCAATAAAAGGGCAGTACTGGGGAATATTGCCCCAAGGTAGTGGAAGTATGGGCCAAATTCAGCGAGGTCCATACAAAAATGACCAAGGGTCAGTATTCTCCAGTATGGCTCATTAGCAAGCTAGGTTAATGAGTACTTTATTAAATGGCACTCAAAAACAAAAAATTAGACAGCTTATGACTGTTTCCAAGGAAATGGACCATATGGTAAAATCTCAACCAAGAAAGAAACAATCAGAATGCTCTAATTGGCCCCAGGACTACCTTGCCATACAATAACTAGCTTGACCTCATGCTACATGTAGGTCAATAACTTAATATATACTTTCAGTTGTTTATTTCGCTCATTCCCCTCCTGCTCAATAAACTTTATTCTATTCATGTTATTACACATCTGACAATGTCACTCTTGTTATTGTGTTTTTACCTGAATTTTGATTGGTGTTCTCTGCAAGCGATGCTGGTGTAAAGACTTCTTGGTTAATTCCCAGGCAAGTTCAGTTGTAAACTCCGGAGTCTCCACGTGATCAATAGGATCAGTTGTCAGTGTTTCTCCATCAAACTTTGTTTCAACAATGATCTTGTGCCGTGGTCGTTTAGGGAATCTTCGCCCTATAAAAGTATATTGCAGCCCATAAGTTATTTTTCAATGTGTATCAATCGTACTTAAAAAAAGTATCGGCATAAAAGCAACGTTGTTAGAGGGAAAGTGATGTCAAATTCAAACTTTTGGGAAAACTGCGAGGCGAATCTGAAGTGTATTGCAGATTACAATTTACACGCGCATGCACGTCCTCGTATTTCTCGCGACACCAAAATGAAAAGTAATTATCGTCAAACTTACCTTCAAGTACCGAGACAACCACCAAAATTCCGTCACTCAAACCCATAAGCAACACGTTGACTGATGGTAAAGCTATTTACTTGTCGAGAGGAGGCGACAAAAGACGAATATAGTCCCCAACAACAATTGCACAAAATCCGCCATTTTTTCAAAACTTAGGATACTACGTTGTGTAGGCAATCGTGATGCAGACCCTCGTATCTAGTCTTTTCCGCGGTCAATAATAGCGTCCAATATGGCGAAATATGGCGAACGGTGGTGAACGAGGGATTTACAATAAAAACTCATCAACTGCTGTGTAAATAGAACTGACAGCTAAGTGTCGTTGCTGAGAAAGCGGATTAATTTCAACGACTGATAACTGCACTTTTTTGTTCCGTGCTAACTGCCCCATCAGAAGGCAATTCTTATGCAAATGAGTTCATTTTAACAAGCTGTCAAATATACCGCGAGATGTTCTTCTCTTAGCAACATCTGTTTCACACACTGTCTTGAATTTATTGATCAACGCGGGCGTCTTTTTGGTGAGGACCACAAGCTGTGAAAGTTTGCTAAAGGACTGGTTGATCTTTTTTGACGAGATCAGCGGTCAATGATAAACAACACGTTTTACGATTCACCAGATCGATTCGAGCTAGACAGAGTAAAGCAGAGTAGCTTGGTATAAACAGACGAAGATGTGTGCCCTACTTAAATCTGAAGAAAGACCAGATAAATAAACAACGATCACAAGGAAATGTAATTTCAGCGGTGCCGATGCAACTTGCTGTTTCACCTCAGTTGTTGGAACGAAGCGTGATTCCTTTTCAAGACGCAAATTAATTTAACGTGCGGTTAAGCTTACGTGCAAGCCATAGCAAATGTGGAACTGAAATAATTGGATCCCATTTCTTGGGAATTATCACTGTTATTAAGCTTACATAGCGACTGGAAATTTTGATCGTTAATCTGCGTGTAAGTGTTTAAGGATTAAACTAACATGGCCCACCATCGTGATCGTGATCGGGAACCCGATCTCAAAGGAAAACTTTCACGCAAGATTGCAGAACTTACAATGGTCATTCATTTGTTATTTACACGAAACCACGAGCGAGAGTTCGAAGTGGAAGCTTTGAAAACTGCATACGAACATGAGATTAGTGTTATACTCGACGAAGCGAAGGGGAAAATTTCGTGGCTGGAAGGGCAGTTGGATGAACTTGAAAAATTCCGTGTTTTGCTGGACTTGAAAAACACAGAGAGTGAGAAAGACAAACAGCAGATCAGTGACCTTCAAAATAAAATAGCAGAATTGACTGCACTTTTGGAACACAAAGATCAGCTCATAACAGTGGCTGAGAAACAAATTGTGGAATTAAAAGAAAGCCTTGTGGACAAGTTGAAATCTGGTGATGAACAGGTAGCACTTATGACAGTAGAGTTAGAAAATGTGAAAAAAGAAAACAGTGAATTAAAAGAAAAATTTAAGGGAAAAACCGATAAAGTGAAAAAGTGTCAAAACCAAATACAGAATCTTCAATCAAAAGTTAAAGCTTTGGAAGATGAATTAAATGATATTTTGGAGAAAAAAGAGAGACTTGAAAATAGCGTCAATGGATTACAAGGAGACTGGCAGGATGAAATTGATAAGCTCAGTCTCAGAATTGAAGAATACACAAAACAACAAAAAGAAGATCAAATGAGAGCTGAAAAACTAGAATGGAAAAATAAACAGCTGTCTCAGCTGGTCAGGGAGCTAGAAGAAGATAAACGACAACTTGAACTCAAAATTCAGCAGTATATTGATGAGAGGAATAAAAGAAAGGAATCAAAGAGATCTCCCAGGCCAGTCACAAAAGGGAGCCCTGAAGTGCCACGGACAACACCTGCGTTTGATGTAAGTTGAGCCTTCGCCATTAGTTAGGTAAACACTAAGAAGAAACTGATGCTCATTATTTTTCATATGTGGCCAAGAATCACGTGAAAATTCAAATTTCTATATACCGGTAGCTTTTCAGGTCAGTGCCAACTACTCATAGTGAGTGTTTCCCTACTAGTATTTACTTTGCTGGTACAGTGGAACCCCACCTTACGGCCACCTCATTAATACGGCTACCTCTTTGTTATGGCCACTTTATTCTGGCCCAAACAAAAGCTCAGTCAGTCATTTTATTATTCAAAGAACCCCTTTATTATGACCACCCCATTAATACAGCCATATTTCTGAGGCCGGTTGGTGACTGGATTATCAGGGTTCCGCTGTACTAATGTGTGCACTTGGGCAGAGAAATGCACTGTATGGGTGTTTTGAGCTAGAGTTCAACACTGTGACCCTAGCCAGGGCTCGAACCTGGACTGGTTATTCTCAAGTCCAGCACTGAGGCCCCAATAGTAACAATTTCTTTACACAATATCCCGTCTTATCTGATCTAAATGTCCCATATCCCATTAATTTTCCCTGGGAATACTGGTATTCTGTATTACATTAATTTTTTCCTAAATATCCTGTATCCCAGAAACCCTTAATAGGGCTTCATTGCTTTAAACATTGGGTCGCTGTGCCTCCCATAGGCAAAAGTAATGTAAATGGATAAAAATCTCAAGGCCAAGCTTTGCCAGTCCAGGTGGCCTAAACATGTATGCCACATTTTGAACATCTACATTTTGTACTAAATAAGCTGTAGGGGCCTAAAAGGTCAATATTCCAAACCTAAGCTTGGTATCAAGAAAGCTTTTTTTGTGTGCTGTTTTGAGATATACTGTGTCTAATACCAATAAATGTTAAACATTTTAGAGAGATGATGAACTGGAACGTCTCAGAAGAGAAGTGCAGCGTTATCGCTTGGAGTTGAGCAACAGAGAATCCAACTTCAATAGAATGTTTACTGATCACCACCCTGTCATAGTTGAAGGAAAAGGCAGGAAGTCCTCATCTGCTATGGTGCCTGACAATGTAAGTGGCTGAGGAGTCAATGTTCAACTCACCCATAAGGAGTGATCATACAAAAATCGCTCTTGGAGAAAAAATATTTGGGAAAAAAAAATTTGTAGGCACTTTTTGTAGTTAATTTGTTGAATTAGCTACTGTCTAAATCTGAGGCCAATCAAGCAAATCCCCTTCGACTTGTAGCTTTCAGAAGGTGATTCGGATGCATGGAGAGGTTGTGAAAAATTCAGCAGTTCATTTTGTTTCAAAATTCTTGGTATTATGTGATAGCCAGATCTATAAACTTTAATTTAATATAGAGGTAACTAGGGATCTACGGTTTAAGCTGGACACGTCACATGGCTTGGATGCAATCCACCTCAAAGGTATGCGGTACCTTACGCAGGCAGCTTACCTATAGGGTAATGTTACCGGTGTTGCACATAACAGTCTTTCTACATGTATGTGGGGTCAATAATCAGATCCAACCCATTTTAAACACCTGTGGTTCCTTACATTTCATGGCATGATTCTTATTTTGTGTATAAACTAACATATTTTTCCTTGTGTCAGTCTTTCCCAAACCTGAGTGGTGTACATGGACGGAAAAGAAGTGGAATTCAACCTCATTTACCAGCTCTTGGAGAGCAACGCATACACAGCAACCCGCAACATCAATTTCACGGCCTTTAATACATGAAATAAGGAGTGTCAATCACTTCTTGTTGTTATGAACTTGTTTCCCAAAAAGAATATTAATTCTATAGTTTGTTTAGTCATGCCAATGACGTATGTTCATACTCATCTGTTGTAGAGTTTTATTTGCTTTATTTATTGGTCAGGAATAAATTAATTTTATGTGGCTGTTACTGATTTATTTAACAGAATAAAGGTAACAAAAGCACACAATGGTGCATGGCTGTTGAGTGTTAGTTATATCATTCTCATCCCCAGAACTGGTCAGAACTGCTGGTCCCTGTCAGCTGGTAGGCATGTCACAGAAATAAAGTGACTCTGGAGACACTTGATTTGATTGGCTAGAATTTGGACCAAGATTTCCACTAATTCAGTCCTGGCTTCCTTCCAAAAGTATCCACTGGTCTATATCTTAACTAAAACTGTTTGATAAGAACAACTAAAAACCTTAACAGATTTGTGACAAACAGAATTTAAAACAGAAGTAAAATTCTGACTGGAAGTGCACATATATGGTTAATTATGGAGGACTTCACTGAAAATTCTCCTAATCGAGTGAGGTTTTAGGTAGAGAGAAACCAATGTTGAATAATTATCAGTGAAAATTTTAGTTCATAATACTAGCCAATCAAATCATGTGTCTCTAAGGCCACCTTTTCCTATTGCCAAGGCTGAGCTTAAAGGGACAGGCAACCCTGGGGACAAGAATGGTATGATATACTATAGAAACTTAAATTCTGTTTCCTAGGGTTCCGAGTCTTTTTGCTCATGGCAAACATAGCCTGACTTATTTAGGCCCTGTCATTTGGTCCAAACTCGACAAATCTATTCGATCTTCTGAATCATTGCACACTTTTAAAAAGTGCATCAAATTGGTTGATTTCACTAGTCTGCTGGACAGTACTTGTAAAGACTGTTCTTTATGTAACAACTAGCACTTGATCTTACTGCATGACTCATTGTTTGTTTTAAGTATATATTTTAAAACACTTACATATGTACATGTATTTCATATTTTATTAATTAGTAGATAAGTAATCGTAGTTAGGTGTCCCGAATTAGTATACATTGTATGCTAGTGACTTCGACACGTTAATAAAGTTCTTATCTTTATCTTATCTTAGTTTGTGAACTATTTTTGTTATCTGTGTAAATCCCTCTCCACTTTGTATGTGAGGTTTCCTCAAATAAGAGCAACTTAGAAAATGACATTGGATTCACAGGTTCTGATAGAGATGCTAACCAGGGCAAATTATTTTAACTGTATTAAATATTCACAGAGTTATGGATAAGCTATATGTACACGTATGTGAATATGAAAAAGATTAAAATATATATCAAACAATGGTGAATGTAAGTCTGGAACATTCGTGCAGAAACAGCAGATAGTAAATTAAACATTTGTAAAACAGAATTAAATAAAGATTCTTTTACCTTTCATATAGTAGATAAGTACTCAAGTGAGTTAAAAACGCCCCCAAAATATAGCAAACTGAAATTACACCCCCAAACAATTACACCTATGCTTAGCATTTGTGGTGTTATGCTTACCATGATGGTTAAGCCAATGAAAACTTTTGAATAACATTATCCTATGATCCAGTTTTTAATTGCATTCGAGCGTAGGGAGAACATAACCTAATTTTGTGTTGGTGTCCACATGTTGGGCTTCCTGCATAATACAGGCGAAATCAATCGAGGTTGCAGTGGTCTTAACAAATTCAGCCGCCCCGCTTGATTTCGCATTATCCAATGATCCAGTTTTTAATTGCGTTGGAGCGTAGGGAGAACACAGCCTAATTTTGTGTTGGTGTCCACATGTTGGGCTTCCTGCATAATACAGGCAAAATCAATCGAGGTTGCAGTGATCTTAGCAAATTCAGCCACCCCCCTTGATTTTTGCAGGGGCATATCACGGCCAGTAAACTGGTACCGTATAATGCTAAGACATGTAATAAGACTTGGCGAACATGTGAGTACTGGTATGTGCGCAGGCCATTTGAGCTCGTCTTTCCGCTGGATCTTTCTTTGACTTCTTTCCATTCAGTCACCGTACACTTTGCTGTTGTGCTCTCAGCGTTAGATTTTGGTGAATTTAAACGCTTTTACGGTAGCATTTATCGAAACCTGAGGGAATTGTGGTTGTTTATTAACATGACTTGGTTTTGGGATGTTAACCGTAGGAACACCTACATTTTGACTGCATTTGTTGATTAGTTCCAGTCGAGACAGCTCAGTCTTTATCCGGTCAAAATTTTGTTTGGAATCATTAGCAGTGCTTATGTGCAGCAACTGACATGAGCTACAAAACAAGCTATTGGTGTAATAGGTTCTATTTTGGCTGGTGAATCAATCTTCAAAAAACTTCTCAGACAGGCTTCACCATCTCAGAATTTTTCCCAACAATGTCTCTTAAGTCTTTGCAGGGCTAAGAAAGTCCTGAGCTCGCTGAACATTTTTAGTCTTACTTTCTTGCAAAGTCTCCAAATAACCAGTAACCACTCTTTCTACTACCCCCCAATTTTGAGGAAAACAGTGAAGGCAGTGACAAAGACCACATCAGACAAAGTAACAAAAATCAAGAATATTGATGGCAATTCAGACTTAAAGCAGGTTATGAAAATGTCAGATCGCATATTATTTCAGAAACTTTGACAAGAAAACAAGCTTAATGCAAATTCTCCCAAAGTGAATTTCTGACAATGTGTACAATGGAAGCCTTCCTTGCGGCCACCCTGTCATACAGCCACCTCGTCATTACGCCCAAACAAAAACAAACAATGCCCCAAACAAAAGCTCGGTCAGTCACTTTCTTATTTGAAGAACCACTTCAATACAGCCACCCCATTAATATGGCCAGTCGCTGACTGGATTAACAGGGTTTCACTGACTGTAATTAACCAACAACAGAACTGTGATGTTAATCTGACATAAAGGGTGATTAAGAGACACTTCAACCCAGTCATTCATGAATTTGTCTACACCAGAAATAAGATTTTTATTTAATACAAAAACAATAAATATACAGGAAATATTTTTGATATAGAGCTTTTCATGTTATCTAAAAGAATTTCTACTGTTGCCCTTGTTAAATTTGCTTATGTCGAAATCTTCCTTGTGCAAGCCAGAAAATAATTTTCTTTTCTCCAGGGTGTCTGCACAACTAAAGGGAGAAAACAAACAAATTGAATGTGTTTGTTTATAAAAACACTTAAATAACATAAACAACAAGGAAAAATAATTCCATGATGCAAATCACCTTCCCATTTTTTCCTGCACTTTGTCAATGTCTTGTTGCATTGTCTTGATTTCCTGGAGATAAAAATGAAACAAAACTGGAATCATTGTTTAAAATCAAATCAAAATTGGCTTAGATATCCATCCAGGCCATCAAGGTTTCTTCTCAGCTCTTGCATTTGGCAACCTACATCATTCTCCAAGGAAAAAGTAATTCAAACCCCGGTATACACCAGATGCAGATGCAGTGTACATTTTATTTGTTTTGCACCATTCCAATACTGGTAGCCCATCTCACTCTTAAAAGTACTTTAAAGAGTTTAGTAAGAAACAGAAGAGAGGTAAGCTAATCAAGGTAGGTGGAACTTCCTTTGAATCCAATAAGAATCTCAATCCTTGCATTCTTGCTAGACATTACCTCTTGTAACATTTGTTCTCTTTCTTCCAATTCTGAAATGTCAGCTTCATATTTACTGTCAGTCACTTCACAATCCTATGAATTTCACAAAGTGAACAATTAAGGTCCCATCTATATGGGCTTGAGTACCCAAGACAACCCTCTCCCTAAGGCAACTTCACGTCTTTATATGAAAAAAAGTTATCCCTGTTGGCCAAGTCAAAGTTGAACCCACATGATTATTTATGACACTTATCATTACTAGAGGTGCATGAAGTGTTCTCTCTCTTTCTCCGAGTTTCCTTTGGTCATGTAATCACTGTGGGCTTTGTTAAGTCAATTTTCACCTATATTTTAATTTAAAAAATCTGTTTTAAAACCTATAATCTTGGCATGCTGTGCATTGCCTTGGGCAGATGAGCCATTGATTATAAGAGAAAAAGTTGTCCCGTTTCCAAGGGCTACCCCACCTAAGACAACTCGGAGATAGAGAGAGACGAGACAACTCGAGGACAACAGTGCAAAAAACATGCATCTGGAAACTGCACTCAAAATTTAGCTTGTATGTTCCATACCTTGCACACTTGTTTTAGTTTTCACTTCTTTTTAATTATATCTTTTAATCTCATTTTTTAAGAACATTGTTCAATATAAACAAGTAAAAATGATGTCACGATGTCACCGAAACGTTGTTCTTTCTTATCGCTAATTTTACTTGTTTATGCTTTACAAAACCTTTGCTTATATTGTTTAATATAGTCTGGAAACACATGACACACACCACTCCTAAGGCTTGGCTCTCAAGTCTTAAATCTTGACTGTTTCGATTTCTACCTTCATCCTACGATCACAACGTCAATTCCTCATACTGAGTACCATGCATTTGTTTCAAAAAACGTTCTGAGAGTTTGGTGGTAGATCAAGACCCTAGCGCCTGCCTTGAGTTACGACTTACGGGGAGCTTTAATTTTTTACCTGCTGTGCTCGCTGTCTGCAATGCGACCTTATATTCATCAGTACTCTGTCCTTTATCTGTTTCCGCTTTGTTTGATAAGCCTCATACAACAACTTCACATCTTGAAGGTCACTGCCAGCGAACGCGAATACCATCGAATTTATATTTAGCTTACATTAGAATGTCGACCGAGAATATCTCTTCTAAATTCTATGATCTCAAAGACAATGGCAGTTTTTTCCCTTACCGATACTTCCTAGGGAATAGTTCTTTGAATTCATCCATTGTATAGCTGTTAAGAACTTGAGAATTGATCAGAGCATCCGTCAAAAGTTCCCGACTCTCTCGTTCGCTATGGGCCGCCATTTTCACCCGCCAAGGGTAAGAAAAAGACAACCACCTCTACCCTAGAGGGAAAAGTGTTGTTTTCATATAATGCGTCACGCAACATTTGTCATGGGGAAGGGGAGAAGGATTGCGTGACGATGCAGAAGAAATCACAACCGTGTTCTGCATAATTAATCTTAAATTTAGTAGCATAGATTTTTAGGATTTTATTTGTCTCTTTTCTTTTGTTTTAGATACAAATATTGAGAGAATGTTTTACCTGCATATCCCTTTCCAAACACTTTGAAGCACAGGGGAACCCCATTAATCTGGGCACCATCAGGCCACAAAAACCTGGCCATCTCCTGGAGTGAGAGAAGAGGGGAGGGAAGATAAGAGACCCTGGGAACAAGGTTGCCTGTTCATATAACTCAGCTTGTGAAATCCCCATCATAAAGCCTGAACAAGGTAGCCCTTTTGCCCTTTTGGTTGGGGCCTCCCCATATGGGCCATTATATATGGGGAGCACCCCCCCAGGGGCGGGGGGGTCATAGAGATTTATTTCTAGGTCGGATATATTTAGGTTCAGGTTCACTGTCACAGCCCCATCCAATTTTCTATGGAGTACTATTGCTAATCCCACACCCCCTAGGCTCGATTTCCAGCCATTTTGTGAGCCCGCGTTCCTTGCCCCACACACAACCAGACTCCCAAAACGGCTGGAAATCGAGCCTACCCACCCCCAAACCCCTTGTACAACCAATATATAAAGCAAGTAGCACATAAAGTGAATGTTTAATACCTTATATGTACACTATACATTACATGATCACCACATCTGTAGAAACTGTACCAAATGCTTCCTTGGTATCAAAAAACTAAACAGTTCAAATTTTGTATCTTGAAACTTATTTATTTGTAACTTTTTATAATGCCTACAATAATAATTGTTGTTCTGGAACATTTTGAAACCTGTATGTGACATTTTAGAATCAAGCAATAAAGCAATATTTACAAGGAAAAATGCCATTGTACAAATTCTGACATGACTCTCTCCTGCTACAGATCTTCCACTACCATCATTGAAACAAAGTCTTTATAGAATATGATGCCTTTGTCTGGATCAACAGCTGCGGATAGCATTTCTTCCATCTCCTCTTGAGTAAAGGGTTCACCTATCAAAGCCATTAAAGAAAAGGAGTCAGCTACATCTAGGATACTTTATTATACTCATGTACCCCAAGGATAGACAACATCTCATGCAAATAATCACCTCAAAAATGGAGAAAGTCCCATGTTGATATCTCGAGTGTGGGATAATTTCATTGTGTTAATATCCCAAGGAAGGGATGAGGTACATACTATTAATTAATCCCTGGGATAGTAATATTTCCGACATAATTTTCAAGGTAATGAATATCATTACAATAACAAAAATAAACTGAATGCCATTTTATCTTAGACAAAAACTACATTTTTTGGTACAGTGTGATTCTTCAGTGATTTTCAATGCTTGATTCATTTTTACCTTCTTCACTCATATATTTTGTAAGCTCTTCTGCTGTGAGGTAACCTTTATTTTCTTGATCCAGAACTTCAAATGCTTTCATTATTTGGTCTTCTGGTGCTGGTTTGTATCTACAAAGAGGATTTTAGGGTACTGGTACATAAAGTTATCATACACAAGTCTAAAGCTACATACTGGTAATTCTGTATTTGCCCAAAATTCCCCAAATCTCATATATTGGTTTCCCATTAAGTTAATAAGGAGTACTTCTACAATTACTCCTCCTGACTGGTAACCCCCCCCCCCCAACCGCCCCCCATAACCTAAGGATCAGCATATTTCAAGGCCCTGTATTTCTTACCTTCTCTCCAATAGTGTTTTCAACATGATAGGTTCAAATTTTTCAAATCTTATATACCCTGTTGGTTCTTCCTCTTCTACCTAGAATTAGAAATAAGATAACTAGTTAAGTCATAATAAGCTTATAACTTTGAAAAGGTTAAAGCTCATTTAGTTTATTTAACTTAACAAGCTTTTAAATATTTAAATTAAGCCTGATGATGATCTCCAAGAGAAATAATTATACAAGACACTGATGAAAGACACTGAAGATAATTTACCTCAGCCAGAATATCGTGAAGCTCTCCTTCAGTAGGACAACACTTCAGGGATCTTACAATTGTTCCAACCTCCCTTAAAAGTGCAAAAGTGTACAGTTAGCAAACTGATTTCCACTAAAAGGTAAGGCCAAATATTCTGAAATATTTTACAATGTTTACACGAAGTCTGGCACCTAACATCGACAGTCTTGTTAGATTCGTGATCAAATATATCAAAAGCATCTGAAATCGTCTTTTGTAGTTCTGCAGCGGACGAATCAGAGGATTCAGGAGCAAGTTTTTCGGGCTCACTGCTCGGATTTGGGGAACTCGCGTCCGCCATTTTTCTTTCTCTTTCTGTTGCTAGGATACCGTAATCTGTGCCCGCGATCCCAAGGTGCAATTGCCTTGTAAAATGAATGCGCGTAATAACAATTCTATAAATACAATTGCGCAGGCACTAGGATTTTGTAAATAGCAGATTTGAGAGCTTAAAGTATGGTACGTAGCTACATTTTCCAACATTCTGTGATTTTTCTGTCTACTTACACCCGCATTTATACGTTCTCCTGTCTTTAGGGAGACCTCCTGAAGGAGTTGCCTTCATTTAATAGGCACAATTTTTCAAAATACGCCACTGATTCGGCGACCAAACCCACGGTAGGTTTATCAAGCCTTCTACTGTTACTAAATTTCTGGTTCGATTGACTTGCTTTCTGCTATTTTAAGTTCACTTCTCCAAACGAAGTGATCTGAATTTATCTGCTAGAACTAAAGCCAGTTTTTATCTAAACATGTGGCGAAACAAACCACATGATTTGTCATTTGAAGATTTATGAAATAGACATATGGATGTTTCAAATACTCGCCATGAACCATGTTGTTTGAATTTTATGTCTGTTGAATATATGTATGTAATACTTAGTATTTAAACAAGTCTCATTCGATAGTAAACACTGTCAACTTTCAGACTGAAAATCATGCAGGTTTTTACATATCCGAAATTTAAATATTAGGTTATGATGCAAGTCGTGTCTGAAGGTTTGGTTATCAATGCTTATTTGGTTTTTCTTTCATAGAATCGTAGACCTGTAGTCTATTTACCCACAAAAGAGGATGGAACAACTGAACAAGGTAAGACTGAACTTGAGTTCAAAATGGTTTTGGAGCTATAACACTATTAAGTTGGCTCACCACTTTTACATCAGTAGTAGAACTGCTTTTCCGTGGGATGTGGACAAGGATTATTCAGTTAAGATCACTCAGATCAAAGGAACCAATAAATCTGCTCTGGTCAAGGATTCATAGGCTCCTTTGATGCAACATGATCTGAATGATCTTGAATCATTGGCCAGTTCATCCCAGACAAATTTGCATGAAAAATGTTGAATGGTCTACTTACAGATTTCTTTTGTTGGCAGGCAAGAACATTACATACATACAGCTCATTTGAATCAATTATATAATTTGCATATTATGAAAAATGTATGTAAAGAAAATATGAGTAAATTATTATTGGTTAATGTTTTGTTGAAATTTTTTGTTTTATTTCAGTTATTGTGACAGACAAAGCGAATATTTTATTGAGATATCTTCATCAGCAATGGGAAGTTAAAGTAAGATTACTTTCTTAAACAGAATAATTTTTTGCTGTCAATGGTATTTTTAAAGCTGCATGGTTGTGTATTTGCCAGTTGGAAACATTCCCATTGTGAACAGCTGTGTCCAAGATCTAGTTTGTTATATAACAGACTGTTAATGAATGAAGAGCATTTGTCTCAATAGTCACTGCACACGTGTTTTTTCCCCTCAGTTAATAAATTAAAGGTGTAAAGAATATGTTACTATTCTACAACCATTCCTTATTGAGTTCTACCATTTTGAGTTGTTTTTTTTTTTTCATTTTCTATTGAGAAAAGCCATTCTACTCTGGTTTGATTGCTCAATGTTTTTAGCCAGTATCAGATCATATGTGATTGAAGAGGTCGATATGGAACTCTATATTATAAATTTAATCATATCTGTAGCAAAATTATTGATCATGATTGGTTCACTTCAGAATTTAGGTGTTTTACTGTCATCATCAAGTCTCTGTGCACCAGAAGGTGCATAAGGCTGGTGTTTTACTGTGCAAGTCAGAAAACCATGAACAGTTTGACTTGATTCTGACAGGTCAATTCTGTAGTGGCCAATCACAATCACACAAGCAAACCTTAAAACCACAAACAAAATTACTATTGCTGTTTGTAGTTTAGTTTTCTCAAGCCTAATTGGCATTTCCTTGGCTACACAACACATTTCATAAATACTCTTGCTACACAATAACATGCCATAAATATTTCTGCTGTTTACAGTTTTCGGAGTTTCACAGTAACTGTGCAAATGTGCATGTATAATGTTAAATCTTAAAAAATAGCACAGTTGTTTTTTAGTGTTTTGTGGTGTAACACTGGAACTTTTTCTTTGCTTCTAGAATACTCAGTCAGGTAAAAAGCGTGACATTGTAAGTGCAGATCTTCCAGAAACCTCAGAGCTTAATCCATCAAGAAAGGCAAAACGACTAGATCATGAAGATTACAGTCCTCCAGATTGAACAGCACTCAATACAAGCAGAATTATAAATTAATGTTATTGTTCAACAACAGCGTCAGCTTGTGTGTAGGAAAGACACATCTATCATAAGTTGAAAACTGAAGTATTGATTAGAAGCAGTAATTAACAATTTTCAGTTGCAACTGTTGACCGTCAATCAATGAGTATCAGACACTAGATATTTATTTTAATAATAATGTTATTTGACTTCTTCCCTTCTAAAGTGAACTTTATAGGGAAATAACCAACTGAGCGGTCTCCTTCTTAGTCTATGCACTTGTTACTTCCCTTATTGGGGACTAAGGCAAAAAGAAATGCATTTAAGCATTGTTACTAATTATTCAGCAAGAGGAAAAGGACAAGGAAATGAAAATGATTGTTTGGTCTTTTTGCTCGCCTCAGCTGGTTTTACCCTAGTCCAAGAGATCTTGTTAGTTGAACCTAAAATTATTATTGGCAATTTATTATAATTTGACAATACTATATTTTCTGGATCAAAACACTCCCAGTGTTCAAACATGGCCTGTTGGACCTGGTATTATACCTGCTTTCAGTGTTACGTGCATAGGCGACATCTTTCGACCATCTCTCGACATTCCATCTTTCGACATGCTATGTAAATGGCAGAAAGACCGTTTACCTGTGAAACTGGCAATTTTTCTGGTTATTAGCAGAACAAATGACAAGTATATGATAATTACTGACCTCAAATGAATGAAGGAGACTGTGGACTCCTGATTTACGGGATAATTCAAACAATTTTAGTGTAGTCGATCGGCTCTCAATGGTGACTTCTGGTACTATTGGGCCGCTACCGCTCAGTTTAATATTCAAAAGATGTAAACAATTTGTCTCTCACAGAATGACTTCTTGATCTCCTAACCTGAATTTGATGTCAAATAAATCCATCTTCCATGACTAAAAGTTGAGTTTGACCATAAAGAAGTCTGTTGTGCTTACATTTTTGAAGTAAGCCAGGTTACATAGCATGTCGAAAGATGGCATGTCGAAAGATAGTTGCTATGCACATAACACTGAAAGCGGGTGTAATTTGACCCCTCTGGTTTATTTGAGCTTGGTTTTATTAAGCAAGCCTTTTTATTCACTATTTTTGACAGTCGTGTATTTTTCCCATAAATCATTGAAGTGGTTATTTACAATTTGACCATGGGTACCTAGCGTTTATTTGGTACCTGGGATTTTATCAAGAAAATATGGCACTTTATGTTATGCACAAGTTTGCTATGAAATCATTAAGCATGACAGAAACATTAAGAGATGATCAAAGCAGTCATCAAATTTAAATTGTTTATAGACCTGACATGGGCTGGCAATTTCAGCATGCCAGCAAGACAGTCCATAACAAGCTCAATTTGCTGCCTTTTTTTTTTCATTTTACTCAGTCTATGGCATATATTAATTAGCTGGCAGAATTTCAGTTGTCTCCCCCCTTGAGACAAACACTCCCCAGATAGACACTCTCTTTCCCAAGAGTGCATGACTCAAGGAGACAGCAGAAACTTTATGGCTATGGCAATATCCTCATAGTTAAAGGAGAAGGTCACTTCAAAAAGCTTATATTTTTGTCTTCGTCTATAGCAAGTAAACATTCAGCTTTTTCACTCACTGAAGTTTCAACCGCTTAAGTGCTTGCTATCCTGAAGAAATTTGTCTCGAAAGAAGCAACTTCATAGGCTGCCATTTTGACTGTACTTGGCAGCCAGGCCGTGTTTATGTGACATAATTCCGTCCAACTAGACATTGGCGGGAAGGAGAAAAACCTGGACCTGACCTATGCATCCTTCACAAGGTCAGTAAAATGTATTTTATTCCAAGCAATTATCCACTTCCCTATCTTCACTGCTTTCATTTTCGGAGTTTGGAGCATGTTTGGCCCAAAATAATACAGCTTCAGAGCAGCCATGGCCCAGAGTGGTAGTTAAAAGGCTTGTTAGAAGCCATTTGGACCAAATGTCTTGGATGGAATGACCTCATGAAAACACAGCCTGGCTGCTGAGTACTGTTCAAAATGGCGGCAACGATGTCGAAGTTTGGGCTTTGATGGAGATGAATTTCATAAGGAAAACCTGCACTTAAGAGGCTGAAACTTCGATGAGTGACGAAACTTAGTGTGAAGTTTCAATTAGCGTTGACAAAAAAATAGGTTTTCCAGAGTGACCTTCTCCTTTAAATGTTATAGATAAAATTAATTTTCCTTTCTGTATAATGACTGTTTTACCATATTTTAGATAAAAAAAAANGTTATCATACACAAGTCTAAAGCTACATACTGGTAATTCTGTATTTGCCCAAAATTCCCCAAATCTCATATATTGGTTTCCCATTAAGTTAATAAGGAGTACTTCTACAATTACTCCTCCTGACTGGTAACCCCCCCCCCCCAACCGCCCCCCATAACCTAAGGATCAGCATATTTCAAGGCCCTGTATTTCTTACCTTCTCTCCAATAGTGTTTTCAACATGATAGGTTCAAATTTTTCAAATCTTATATACCCTGTTGGTTCTTCCTCTTCTACCTAGAATTAGAAATAAGATAACTAGTTAAGTCATAATAAGCTTATAACTTTGAAAAGGTTAAAGCTCATTTAGTTTATTTAACTTAACAAGCTTTTAAATATTTAAATTAAGCCTGATGATGATCTCCAAGAGAAATAATTATACAAGACACTGATGAAAGACACTGAAGATAATTTACCTCAGCCAGAATATCGTGAAGCTCTCCTTCAGTAGGACAACACTTCAGGGATCTTACAATTGTTCCAACCTCCCTTAAAAGTGCAAAAGTGTACAGTTAGCAAACTGATTTCCACTAAAAGGTAAGGCCAAATATTCTGAAATATTTTACAATGTTTACACGAAGTCTGGCACCTAACATCGACAGTCTTGTTAGATTCGTGATCAAATATATCAAAAGCATCTGAAATCGTCTTTTGTAGTTCTGCAGCGGACGAATCAGAGGATTCAGGAGCAAGTTTTTCGGGCTCACTGCTCGGATTTGGGGAACTCGCGTCCGCCATTTTTCTTTCTCTTTCTGTTGCTAGGATACCGTAATCTGTGCCCGCGATCCCAAGGTGCAATTGCCTTGTAAAATGAATGCGCGTAATAACAATTCTATAAATACAATTGCGCAGGCACTAGGATTTTGTAAATAGCAGATTTGAGAGCTTAAAGTATGGTACGTAGCTACATTTTCCAACATTCTGTGATTTTTCTGTCTACTTACACCCGCATTTATACGTTCTCCTGTCTTTAGGGAGACCTCCTGAAGGAGTTGCCTTCATTTAATAGGCACAATTTTTCAAAATACGCCACTGATTCGGCGACCAAACCCACGGTAGGTTTATCAAGCCTTCTACTGTTACTAAATTTCTGGTTCGATTGACTTGCTTTCTGCTATTTTAAGTTCACTTCTCCAAACGAAGTGATCTGAATTTATCTGCTAGAACTAAAGCCAGTTTTTATCTAAACATGTGGCGAAACAAACCACATGATTTGTCATTTGAAGATTTATGAAATAGACATATGGATGTTTCAAATACTCGCCATGAACCATGTTGTTTGAATTTTATGTCTGTTGAATATATGTATGTAATACTTAGTATTTAAACAAGTCTCATTCGATAGTAAACACTGTCAACTTTCAGACTGAAAATCATGCAGGTTTTTACATATCCGAAATTTAAATATTAGGTTATGATGCAAGTCGTGTCTGAAGGTTTGGTTATCAATGCTTATTTGGTTTTTCTTTCATAGAATCGTAGACCTGTAGTCTATTTACCCACAAAAGAGGATGGAACAACTGAACAAGGTAAGACTGAACTTGAGTTCAAAATGGTTTTGGAGCTATAACACTATTAAGTTGGCTCACCACTTTTACATCAGTAGTAGAACTGCTTTTCCGTGGGATGTGGACAAGGATTATTCAGTTAAGATCACTCAGATCAAAGGAACCAATAAATCTGCTCTGGTCAAGGATTCATAGGCTCCTTTGATGCAACATGATCTGAATGATCTTGAATCATTGGCCAGTTCATCCCAGACAAATTTGCATGAAAAATGTTGAATGGTCTACTTACAGATTTCTTTTGTTGGCAGGCAAGAACATTACATACATACAGCTCATTTGAATCAATTATATAATTTGCATATTATGAAAAATGTATGTAAAGAAAATATGAGTAAATTATTATTGGTTAATGTTTTGTTGAAATTTTTTGTTTTATTTCAGTTATTGTGACAGACAAAGCGAATATTTTATTGAGATATCTTCATCAGCAATGGGAAGTTAAAGTAAGATTACTTTCTTAAACAGAATAATTTTTTGCTGTCAATGGTATTTTTAAAGCTGCATGGTTGTGTATTTGCCAGTTGGAAACATTCCCATTGTGAACAGCTGTGTCCAAGATCTAGTTTGTTATATAACAGACTGTTAATGAATGAAGAGCATTTGTCTCAATAGTCACTGCACACGTGTTTTTTCCCCTCAGTTAATAAATTAAAGGTGTAAAGAATATGTTACTATTCTACAACCATTCCTTATTGAGTTCTACCATTTTGAGTTGTTTTTTTTTTTTCATTTTCTATTGAGAAAAGCCATTCTACTCTGGTTTGATTGCTCAATGTTTTTAGCCAGTATCAGATCATATGTGATTGAAGAGGTCGATATGGAACTCTATATTATAAATTTAATCATATCTGTAGCAAAATTATTGATCATGATTGGTTCACTTCAGAATTTAGGTGTTTTACTGTCATCATCAAGTCTCTGTGCACCAGAAGGTGCATAAGGCTGGTGTTTTACTGTGCAAGTCAGAAAACCATGAACAGTTTGACTTGATTCTGACAGGTCAATTCTGTAGTGGCCAATCACAATCACACAAGCAAACCTTAAAACCACAAACAAAATTACTATTGCTGTTTGTAGTTTAGTTTTCTCAAGCCTAATTGGCATTTCCTTGGCTACACAACACATTTCATAAATACTCTTGCTACACAATAACATGCCATAAATATTTCTGCTGTTTACAGTTTTCGGAGTTTCACAGTAACTGTGCAAATGTGCATGTATAATGTTAAATCTTAAAAAATAGCACAGTTGTTTTTTAGTGTTTTGTGGTGTAACACTGGAACTTTTTCTTTGCTTCTAGAATACTCAGTCAGGTAAAAAGCGTGACATTGTAAGTGCAGATCTTCCAGAAACCTCAGAGCTTAATCCATCAAGAAAGGCAAAACGACTAGATCATGAAGATTACAGTCCTCCAGATTGAACAGCACTCAATACAAGCAGAATTATAAATTAATGTTATTGTTCAACAACAGCGTCAGCTTGTGTGTAGGAAAGACACATCTATCATAAGTTGAAAACTGAAGTATTGATTAGAAGCAGTAATTAACAATTTTCAGTTGCAACTGTTGACCGTCAATCAATGAGTATCAGACACTAGATATTTATTTTAATAATAATGTTATTTGACTTCTTCCCTTCTAAAGTGAACTTTATAGGGAAATAACCAACTGAGCGGTCTCCTTCTTAGTCTATGCACTTGTTACTTCCCTTATTGGGGACTAAGGCAAAAAGAAATGCATTTAAGCATTGTTACTAATTATTCAGCAAGAGGAAAAGGACAAGGAAATGAAAATGATTGTTTGGTCTTTTTGCTCGCCTCAGCTGGTTTTACCCTAGTCCAAGAGATCTTGTTAGTTGAACCTAAAATTATTATTGGCAATTTATTATAATTTGACAATACTATATTTTCTGGATCAAAACACTCCCAGTGTTCAAACATGGCCTGTTGGACCTGGTATTATACCTGCTTTCAGTGTTACGTGCATAGGCGACATCTTTCGACCATCTCTCGACATTCCATCTTTCGACATGCTATGTAAATGGCAGAAAGACCGTTTACCTGTGAAACTGGCAATTTTTCTGGTTATTAGCAGAACAAATGACAAGTATATGATAATTACTGACCTCAAATGAATGAAGGAGACTGTGGACTCCTGATTTACGGGATAATTCAAACAATTTTAGTGTAGTCGATCGGCTCTCAATGGTGACTTCTGGTACTATTGGGCCGCTACCGCTCAGTTTAATATTCAAAAGATGTAAACAATTTGTCTCTCACAGAATGACTTCTTGATCTCCTAACCTGAATTTGATGTCAAATAAATCCATCTTCCATGACTAAAAGTTGAGTTTGACCATAAAGAAGTCTGTTGTGCTTACATTTTTGAAGTAAGCCAGGTTACATAGCATGTCGAAAGATGGCATGTCGAAAGATAGTTGCTATGCACATAACACTGAAAGCGGGTGTAATTTGACCCCTCTGGTTTATTTGAGCTTGGTTTTATTAAGCAAGCCTTTTTATTCACTATTTTTGACAGTCGTGTATTTTTCCCATAAATCATTGAAGTGGTTATTTACAATTTGACCATGGGTACCTAGCGTTTATTTGGTACCTGGGATTTTATCAAGAAAATATGGCACTTTATGTTATGCACAAGTTTGCTATGAAATCATTAAGCATGACAGAAACATTAAGAGATGATCAAAGCAGTCATCAAATTTAAATTGTTTATAGACCTGACATGGGCTGGCAATTTCAGCATGCCAGCAAGACAGTCCATAACAAGCTCAATTTGCTGCCTTTTTTTTTTCATTTTACTCAGTCTATGGCATATATTAATTAGCTGGCAGAATTTCAGTTGTCTCCCCCCTTGAGACAAACACTCCCCAGATAGACACTCTCTTTCCCAAGAGTGCATGACTCAAGGAGACAGCAGAAACTTTATGGCTATGGCAATATCCTCATAGTTAAAGGAGAAGGTCACTTCAAAAAGCTTATATTTTTGTCTTCGTCTATAGCAAGTAAACATTCAGCTTTTTCACTCACTGAAGTTTCAACCGCTTAAGTGCTTGCTATCCTGAAGAAATTTGTCTCGAAAGAAGCAACTTCATAGGCTGCCATTTTGACTGTACTTGGCAGCCAGGCCGTGTTTATGTGACATAATTCCGTCCAACTAGACATTGGCGGGAAGGAGAAAAACCTGGACCTGACCTATGCATCCTTCACAAGGTCAGTAAAATGTATTTTATTCCAAGCAATTATCCACTTCCCTATCTTCACTGCTTTCATTTTCGGAGTTTGGAGCATGTTTGGCCCAAAATAATACAGCTTCAGAGCAGCCATGGCCCAGAGTGGTAGTTAAAAGGCTTGTTAGAAGCCATTTGGACCAAATGTCTTGGATGGAATGACCTCATGAAAACACAGCCTGGCTGCTGAGTACTGTTCAAAATGGCGGCAACGATGTCGAAGTTTGGGCTTTGATGGAGATGAATTTCATAAGGAAAACCTGCACTTAAGAGGCTGAAACTTCGATGAGTGACGAAACTTAGTGTGAAGTTTCAATTAGCGTTGACAAAAAAATAGGTTTTCCAGAGTGACCTTCTCCTTTAAATGTTATAGATAAAATTAATTTTCCTTTCTGTATAATGACTGTTTTACCATATTTTAGATAAAAAAAAAGTCATTTTGTTTTAATGATCTAATGCAACCTTGCCAAAATAAGCCATCACTGCCCTTAGAACATTTCATTATGTCTATTTCGTCTAAAAGGAGCTGATCATTTTCAAGTTAGCCTGATCATTGTAGGAAATTTCAAGATGGAACTAAGAATTTTTTGCGCAAGTGGAATGATGTGAAGCAAGAACTACAGTAGCTGCAGAATGAACATCACAGCTTTTGGTATAAATACAAAACGGCTTTGTGATAGGGGGCTTCAAATTGAGAGACATTAATAAGATTTTCTTTTTGAGGGCGGGGGGCGGGGGGGGGGCTTGATGTCATGGGAGTTTAGGGGATTTCATGGTAAACCAGTTTTTGTGCCTTGTATATTATTTTTGACCCTCAAAGTAACAGAATGGAAGTGATAAGCATATAAATAATATTCAGTAAATTTTTAAAATCCCTTAGCTTGTAAAATACTCTTTGCTTCTTATCAGGAATTTTCAAAACTGCTATTTTATGTTTAATTAAAGGTGCACCAAGAAATGTGCCAGACTTCTCTTCTTTGGCAAATTCTCAGCTTTATTCTTTTTAGAAATTACCCAGTAAGAAAGATTGGTTGTTTAATGTTTCATCTGGTTGTCTTCCTGTCAATTTACATGTACAACTGCAACTTAAGGATGCACAGAAGCTGCAGTAACAGGGTTTCCACAGGTCAGGAAATAGTCAGGGAAAAGGCAGGGAATGTTATTTTGAGTCATGGAAAATTGACATTTTGAGGAAAGTCAGGGAAAATTGAAATAATTTCAACACAGCTGATTTAACACCGATTTAACATTGAGGGTTGGGAGAAACATTCAGGGTGACTGATCTTAACAATATTATTTTCTCCTTAATGAAGAAGGAAAATTTGTTGACAACATATCCATCTTAATAAACATGTAGGAAGGACGGCTGAAAGTTCAAGCTAGAAGCTGCTTCTAGATCTGACATTTTGTATTTTTTGGTCAGGGAAATGCCATCTTGATCTGGGAAAAGTCAGGGAATTTTGAAGTGATGCCTGTAGCAACCATGAGTAATTGCAAGCACTTAAAGGATGATGCATCCTCGACCCCTGGGCCTCTATATCTTTTAAGAATGAGACTGCTGATAATCATGATATGCCTTGAAAAATGCTGTATAAGCCACACAATCAGATATCAAATTGGGCTTTGTATACAGGGCACCAAAGGTCTTTTTTTTAACATGAATACAACTAACACAATTCCCTACAGGGGCATCTCATAGAGGGGATTGGCCATTGCAGTTGAGGACAGCTCAGTGTCGAGTTACCAAAGGATGGGGCAACTAGTCAGTTTGGTTTTTACTTTCCTTTATTCACTTTTTGTTTTATCAAAAATAATGTACTTCTGTAAAACTGAAATACAGTGTACCTGTCCAAAACTATCTGGAATGAACTACATTTTATGGAAGAGTACGCAGATTGAAGCTGACGTACCCAGAACACACAGCCAAAGTGTTACAATAATGTAAATATTCATTACTAACCTTGGCATTGAAGCTATGACCCTTACTTCCCATTTAGTTTCATTTAAATTTGTTCCTATTATATCACCGAGTCTAGAGCTTCTCAAAATCATGCAATCATTTATTAACATTTTTATTGAAAACTGCACAGACATTATAATGTGTACTTTCCTATAAGAGTAAATGATACTTCAGTCAAAAGCCAGCATACAGTGAAAAAATTCCCCTTAGTTGTATCAGCACATATAATTGAAATTTGATCTGATGCCAAAAACAAATGTGATTCTACATCATTCTTATCACAGTCTCTTTTTACTATTATTTACAGGACAGACTACTCAACTACAGCTAGTTAACCAATTTTTTTAGTACTCTCTCCCAGCAGATATGGACCAGACAGGCAATACAAGAAATTTGCACCAGTAGTCTCTAGAGCTAACTGCAATCCACTGATGGGCCCAGCCCTCAGATGCTATGTATATTCAGTTTAACTGTGAAGACCATGACATACACAGCAAACTTATGATGCCAAAATACAATAAGAACTATCAGAGGTTAGTTCAAATCACAGTTTCCATGCTATGAGAAGATCTCGAAACCCTTATGTATTGCTAGTTCACCCTGCAACCCCAGATATCTTTAAGGTCAAATTCATTCTCATTTCCATCAATCATACCCTATGTCAATTCATCTTGGGAGAATTCGATAAACATTTTTTGTTACACAGTTGGTCTGGTATGTCATTCTTATGTCATTTGGAAAGTGTTACAAAAATTCAAAGAACATTACCAGTGACTAAAGTGCTCAGTTCTACAGGGTTAACTTTGTTGCATTCAACAAAAAGTCCAAAATTTATAGAGCATTTTAATCATAGTGATCATTTCAACATACCAAAGTTTTAAATGGCGTTCCTTATGGAAATATATGGAAACATCTCCTAAATGAATGTTCTCTTTATAATTTGCAAATACACAGTCAAATTTGATTGATCATCTAATCATTGACTATTTGCTGACACACTTTATGCATGTCCCTTTGAAAGGGACATGCATTGTTGGGTTGATTTCAAATTATCCAAAATTGTACGTTCCTGATTACTCTTTGTTAAAGCATATATACTAAAACATATTATCTTATTTCACTATTTGCTACAAATAATTCTCTAGGTGATGGTCAACTTGGCTCTGCCTTGTTAACTAACTGCTTGCATCAAATGCAGGCTCATAATTAAGTCCAGCTGTTAAATAGGGAATGCAAATATGGCCCCAGACCACATGTGAATTCAAAGTACCACATGCTTGTGTAAAGTACATGATTATATTTAAATACAAAAGTCAACATACAATAATTATTAATACTAACAATGTTCTAATAATATCATGATAACTAACATTTAGTATAATTATATCATTTAGGTATTCAAACTAAGTGACCATGGAACTTGTAAATGTTATTGAATTAACACTATCCTAACTGGCCTCTAATAAATTAGAAACAGCTATTTTATAAGACTTCTACGGAAGTGTACGTTGGTCATACATTCCTGACACTATGCATTAAGTGTTTCATTAAATTTAATATATACATGTAAACTTGTGTATTTTAGGAAACAGAAAGATATTGAAAAGTTTTACGAACAAAACAGCTCAGCTCTATGTCAAGTAAAGTTATATCAATGTTTTTCTTTCCTTTTCATTCAAAGGTGTTTTTGCAAAATGATTCCGATAGCAAAACAGAACACCAGAAAAAAAAAAAAATTTCATGATTCTCAGGTTATTCCATATTCTGGAAACATTTTGTCTTCTAGTGAAAATTCGAAAAACATAAAGGCAAATTAACAAACCTCCTTGTAACATGAGACAAGATCTGTCAGAAGCATTTAGACTTACTTAAACACTTTATGGTGCATATTGTTTTAACAAATTTTCTCTTTTTCAAAACTCAGTGCTGTACAGTATTCATTTGTTTACTTTCAAAATAATGCACCAAACTTTTCATTTGCATCATGATAGTCTATAAGAATCATTTATGACAAAGTCGCATAAATTAACTCGTCCTAATCTTTTTTTTTTCTTTTCTTCAGTTATATATTAATTTACAGAACTAAGCATGCATTAACAAGCAATATTTTATTTAACAAATTCTTCCATTGACACAGAAATGGCAGAATCAGAGAAGCTTAGTATATATTTCTCAAAACATTGTTTGTCGTGGTCAGAATATATTAAATAAATATCCCAAGATAAGTTATCACAATGTGATGATAGTTCAACTAGTCAAATCCCTCAGATCTGCTGTTATTTTTGAGGAAGACAAACTCACGGGCAACTTCATCATTCATTCTTTGTGAAAGGATCTTCAGTATGGTCCAACCTTTGGGGTCCATTTGGATGTAACGACCAAGAGCTGGAGTGCACGCACATGACCCCATCTCCGCAATGTTCTTCAAATGCAGCACTGTCATGCCTACAAGGTTGTCTGATCGTGCAAAGCAGTAGTCCTTGACACATATATGAAGCTCATAAGATTCCAGGTCACCTTCATTGCTTAAGATGCTGAGAACAAACAAACAACCAAACAAACTGATTATGAAAAACTCAGCTCATTGTTTCTAAGTAAGGAGAAAGGAGAGTAGCAATTTTGAACTTGGGACTGAAAGTGTAAACAAATGCTTCAGGTTGAAATTGATCTAGACAGATAGTAGAAAGTAGTGAAATTTGTAACTTACAAGACAAATGTTTCATTGTATGTTGGAGACCAGTTGTTGTTCTTTGATCTGGTGGAATTTTTGCGTCGCTTTCCATTGAGGTTGGGGCCCACAATGTTCACTTCCACAAAAGGACGGAACATCCCTAAAAACAAAATTGGGAGAACGTTAATATCTTTTTTTGTCTCTACTAGATATTCACGCTGTTTGAAGTCTGTGAGTGCTAAACTAGTACCTAAACTAAACACTGTAGCGCTAAACTAGTACCTAGACCTTTTCACACACTGCAAAAAACAATATTTTTTTGCCTTTACATATAACATTGACAAGGTCAATGTTATGTAAAGCAAAAAAATTTTTTGCAGAGCATGAAAAGGCCTAGGTACGAGTTTAAGTACCACTACAGTGTTATGCAGGACTTGTAAGCAGCGGTTTTCTCTGTAAGGTCGCGTAAGAAATAACAACAGGAGACAAAGGTAAACCATTCGTTCTTTTCATTCCTTTATTTACTCTCTTCCTATTCAACGAGATTGTGTACTCCCTGTGCTGTGATACAGATATCACACAATCCCTATTTCCTAAAGATACTGGGTCACAAGAATCACACAATCTTCTCTTGGTAGAGAGATTGTTTGACAGTTACTTGTTTATCAATTTAAAAAGATTGTGCGGCAAGACAAAAGGAATGTCTGCAATAGCAGGGGCACATCAACAGATGTGTTCCATAGGAGGTTCATCTTTACATAGGAAAGATGTTGAGAGGCTCAGTGTTATCTGGGAACAAAAATGGGCAGCACAATTGCACATAAACACTACAAATTGTTTAAGAGCTGCGGACAACTCATCACTGACTGCTGAACCGACCCACATCCCATTGGTGAAATTTGGTGCGTAAACAATGCCCACTTTATTTAACTGGTGGATGTAATGTGTGTAAACTTTGGCTGTGTACTTGCTGGCTGGTAGCTCTTGGCAGAGAACTTTCTAGGAAACAGAAGTTTAGACAATTCTTCTCCTGGAATAGCGGAACAGATAATATAGATTTTCCACTATGTGGGAAATTGTTTTTAACATGTTTGCTAATTTGACCACCAAATGTTTGTGGCTAATTCATTCCCATTACGGGTTCAAATAAATTGTAACAATTTCGCTTGTTGGGAACCCCTGCAATAGAAACACTGTTTTATTCACTAATTACTAACCAGGTGATTGCCATCTTAAGTCCTTGGCAGCAACAACTGCAATGTGACAAAATAATGAAGAAAAAAACATCACTGATCAGAAGAATTTAGTTGCCACGCAATAAATGGAAGATTATGCACATTTGAGGGATTGTCACATGTCATATTATGTAAGTATGTCATTCAGTAAAATTATCTCAATACCTTTGACTGTAACCTTGTGTTCTCCTGTCCCTGGGTGGGTGAAGAGATCCACTTGTACTGACACCTCCCCCACTGGGTCATCAACTCCTGGATCCTCTAAAAATGCCCAGGAATTATTTATTAGAGATGCTTGTAAGGACAAACACTGAAACATGATTGGTTTGGTCCTTAATAAACATTATGAGCAATTCTCAAGTGTGCATATTTTTTTCTATTGTTGTTGTTGTTGTTGTTGCTGTTGTGTTGGTTTGTTCAACCTTCTCTTCTTTCTTCAGAACTTACTTTGTTCATAAACTTGGCATGCTTTTATGTTTTCTCACACCATCCCTTCCCCTTCTTTACTTCCTTGCTTGTTGCTTCCTTCCTTTCTTCCTTCCTTCCTTTTCATCCTTATTCATTAATGCCCTTCATTTTTATTTACCTGTAGCAGATACTATACCCTGATGTTCATCGGTGACAAGACTTACCTTGTGAAGTCTGACTCTTTACAAATTCTTTAATAAGTGAGTCAGTGGTCTGTGTGTACAGTGACAATGCTGATTTGAGAGACTGCAAATATGCACACTTGTCCAAATATGTCTTCTTCAGCCCTTTACCAGAAGCATGGAAGTAGTCCTTGAAAAACAAAAATAATAAAATAAGTATTTTTAATTACAAATTAAATTAACATATGGCCCCTTCTCTGTTTCAAATTAGTCAGAGTTTGAAATTCATCTCCATTACAGATTTGCTCCTACCCTCTTATGCAGATGTCATTTGGACATGTTGGACATCTTTTTCTCTTCCCCACATTCGTTGGGGAGGAGTGCATGTCAAGCCATAAGAACATCTGCACAGGAGCCTAATTTACTCCAAGCTTACCTTTATTCTTACAAGAGCAGATTCCAGCACATAGCACTGCTTTACACTCATGTTTCTGGAATCGGATCCAGTTATTCCTCCCATTTCCTGAAATGTAACAAAATACTCTTAATTACATGTACTAGCAAGGGGAGTCAGGAATGTCAAGGTGAAATGTTATTTTAAGCTAACATCAAGTGTTCCTAAATCTCAGTACATGTAGATCAAAATAGAAACCTCATTATAAGAGTTCAAATCATCCTAGGGATTCCCCATGTAAAACTGGAGAATACAAAACTGGTTCACTAGGTTATTAGAGCAGATAACGTCCACAGACAAATATCCAAGCATGCTTTTGCACAAAATGGAGGCTATTGTTTACTTATAGAGCAGCTATTTATCTAATAGTACCTTGATATCAGGTAAAGGTGGTAAAACAACAATCTTCTCAATGTTCAACATCACAATCTTCCACAGTTCCTATGAGCGAATTCAGTTGTTAATAAAATATGTTGATCCTATTATTTCCAGCTTAAACAACATGATTTAAAAACAGAAAAAGATGGGCAATCATGAAAATTGACTTTTCTAGTACTTACAACTTACTGGACTTCAAAATAAAAGTAAAATTGGCTCTTTCATCTCATGAAAGTCTTTACAAGAGAATGAGTTGTTTCAGATTACACATTGTGGAATAAGCAATTGAAAGTTAACTCACCTTAAGCAATCTCTTTAATACAGTTTTCTCACAAGCATTGTAAAAAAGTTCCAAGCTGCAGATGAACAAACCAGTAAAAATAAGTTACAAAATTTACTCTTATTATTTACTCTTACTCTATTTACTCTAATATTTTAAGTTGTAAAGTGCTGTTGATCAGTAAATGTAAATAGTGCTCTAGAAGTTATTAAATTATTATTATTATAATTATTATTATTATTATTATTATTATTATTATCATTATTATTATTATTGTCGGAAATGTTTCCTCTGACAATATACTCACAACTTGATTTCAGTCCAAAAACAAACAATAGGTTTTAATCAGCTAAACTCACTGATACAGATGACAGAACTCGATCGATCTCACTCGCCATGTACTCTTCTCAACACAACACATCCCATAATATTTTGAAAACAGTTCCCAGTCCCAACCATGCATGGGCTGGTGACGCCTGACTAATCTTACAACATTCGCTTAAACCAAGTCTAAAGTGATACGATTACATTTGCATAACTTGAATCTTGACATTATTATTATTATATTATTATTATTATTATTATTATTATTATTATTATTATTATTATTATTATTATTAGAATAGGTAATCACGGAATTAATTTGCATGAGTGAGTTTTTCAAAAAGCTGAAATTGTACAAGCTGCTTCGGCAAGCGCAATTTTAACTTTTTGAAAAACTCCCAAGTGCACATTAATTCCAAATTGAACAAAACCGTATGATTACTTATTAATAATATAACCATGAAAAAATTCACATGGAGGAAGTGCCAGAAGATCTTTCTTGAAGCCATTTTTTCTCATTTGAGAAAACTTTTTTCCAGGTTTCCACACAAAATTTTTGTCACCATTTTATGTTATATTATTGGCTTAAAAAATTTGCTATTGTCTTTCAGCCAATCATAATCCAGAATCACGATGTGTAATTTGCACTGGTGTTTCATTTTCTCCACTAGTGTTACACTTTTTGTACTGGTGTTTCACTTGAACTGTACTGCTCTCAGCCAATCAGAATCAAGTAATTTTTTCATGCATATTATTATCGTTATCGTTACCGTTATTGTTATCGTTGTCATTATCTATCTGTTATGAGTAAGCAATAAGTCACTCGGTTAGCTCACCTTCCTTCAAGAATTCCTAGCAGTGGTTGAAGTATTGTCTCTGAGTCATTCTGAATAGCTTCTTTACTACTCAGCATTACAGGATTAAAGCTGCCAGTGCTTTTAATCCTGGAAAAAAATTGCAGAGTAAGTTAGAAAACGTAGCTGGCTAATTAGTTTTAAAATAGAAATCCACTACGCACCAAAGCAGTTCAAGAGTAGCCGGTCTATTTAATCAGCCCCATCTTGATGTTTCCAAACCCAAATAAAGAAGGAGGGGTTGCGCAGAGTGGGCCTACAGTACTCTAATATTGTAGTTAAATTCTGTTACTGTTTTATCAACTAAAGACATTTATACAGAAACAAAAATCACTCAATAGTACTAGTAGAGGAATTGAATGAAACAGACAGGACAACTGGGTTCATGGGGACAAAATCCAACAAGAAGCCACTAATCCACAAAATCTAGAACTAGAAAAGAAAAAATAATGCAACTGTACAATAATTTTAGTTTTACTTACTTGAAGAGCAAGTTTCCAACACCCTTGACACTTTCTTGTATTGTAGAATCAAGGCTGTAAGAACAGTGAAAGAGAGATAATTAGTACTAGGTGTTCCAAATATCATTGGATCTATTTACAACTTAACTTCATAGCAGTATTATTATGCAACAAATGTGTTCAATGACCACTTAGATTTAGTCTGAGAATTTTGTACAGCAGGCCTGTCAATTATACTCCCATCTACATCAGGTTTTTGTAGGGGCCAAACAAATAGGGTCTCACACAAATGCCTCAATACCCTTAACAAAGTCACTTTTACTCCTGTGGGGAAAACCACATATTATTTTGTAAAACAGTAACTAATTAGCCCCAAGGACCACACATACCAATCAATTTTAAAGATACTATCTGTGGGATACCATACATCATACTAACAGCCATAGAGGAAGCCTCGGTTTGAATGGAAAAAAAAAAAACTTAGAGAAAACTTTATTTTGCATTTTTAATTATTTTATTACCTTACCCATCAACTGAGGGTTTTCAGGTTATAAACATACATGTGGATTAATGAATGTCTTATAAAATGTTTACAATTGCCATGAAATGGAACAGAGGATGTGGTCAGTCAGCAGAAGGTATGTATACTTGTACTTACAGATCCCCCTATAGTTACTGTAGTGCATTGAATGTTGGACTGATAGCACAATCAGACCAACAAGTTGACAGAGTGTTGCTGTATGTCTCTTGTCATATTTCCACCCTGTATAATATAATTGTTTAAACTTGATACCAGTCATCAATGTAAAAAATAACTGCTCACCTTTGAACAAATACAACACACAATTCATCCAGAGTGAGATTCAGTTTGACTTGTAGCTCCTTGAACACTTCACTACACTCTGGGGAAAGCTGTGCAAAAAAAATGTTGTTGTTTGCTAAAACTTCAAAACATCAGGTCAGACCAGGTTGTTCAAAAACCAATTAGGCTCATCCAGGTTTAGCCAGAATTTTGATTTGAGTTTTGTAACTTTTCATTGAGAGTTTGTGTTTATATTGTTTGTCCTTCTGTTTTGAGTTTGAATAATCTCAAACTACACAAAACATGAGCAGAGAAAAACATTTCTACAAAAGAAAAATTATTAAATAAATGCTTCTGTTAACTTTTAATCCTGGGTTAGCGCTAACCAGTTTTTGATCAACCTGGCCCAGATGATTAAGCCTTTAACAGCAGGTCAATCTACAACATTGCTTGATAAGTACAATGTACAAGCTAAGCTAAAGTAAGCATATTGGTTGCTTTGCTTTACAATAACTGTTAATGACGTTTCTCATAGACCAGCATGGATGAAATATTTGGAAAAGCAGTTAACAAGCCACTCCTACACAACAAAATTTATTTAATAGTTTAGATCTGGTTACTTAATGGCGCAGTGATGAAAGTCTTCCAAATAGAAGTTGCTCAATCAAGTTGAGATTCTTTAATTTGTTGGCCCCTGTTTCTTTACATTAGTAAACTCAATAAATAAGCTGTAAACAAAAGCTACAGTACCTTTTCTCCTCCACCCATTGTTTCATAAAGCTTCTCCAGCTGAACTCGCAGCTGTTGTATGTTGTTCATTAGAATACATGCTGTTTTTCCCTGATCACACCAAATACTAAATTCTTTAATGATTTTCTCAGCATACTGAAGCAAGACATTCTGCACAGTCTGCAAAATTATTTTACAAAAAAGAGTTCAATTTTATTGGCACTGCTTACAGTACATGCAATATCTAGAGGGTCAGTACAAAACGTGGACCCCTACATCTGGAACCCGTATTGGACTCCTTTTGGACCCCATCTGGACCCTCATGTGGACACCCTTCTGCAACCCCATCAGGACCACCTTCTGGAACCCTATTTTTCTTCTAGAAAATATGTGCTTCTGATTTAAATGATTAAACTTAGAACATAAGACAATGAAGTCTACTTAATTAGTGAAGCAGCATTGTGACTGGAATAATGACAACTGCGCGGAAAGAACTGCAAAGCCCCGAATGCGTCATCATCTCTTTCTGAAAGCCCTGCTAACCATTTTTTCCTTGACCATGTAAAGAAGAAAATTGAGGTGGGTGTTTTCTAGAATTATTGAATGGCAACTGCCATTCATTATCGGCCTGGTTGTAGCACAAAACTGTGTTTTTCTTTCCATAGATTTAGCTCCGACAGAGAAATTTTCCTATCTAAATGGCCACCATCTTGTTTGGAACCTTCATCATACCTACCATATACAGCTTTCAGAAACCACACAATGTGTTTATAATAACAATAACAATAACAATAACAATAACAACAACAACAACAACAACAATAATAATAATAATAAAGACTTTCTTTAAGGAGGGTTTGAAATTCATATTTACATATCAACAAGACATGTTTCAGATGAAACATCATTATCATTAAATACAAGAAAATAATCCTCTGTGTTAACATTGTAATTTTTTGATTCTCGTGTTTTCTGCTTACTTGCCACCATGCACCTATCCTACCTTGGTTTGCAATGTTAATAATTTTATTATGCCAGTATAGGTCTCAATTTGCGCTGAAATAACAGATAAAACTGAAAAGCCTCCATTTTCAAGGTCAGAGAAAATTAGTCAGCACTCAAGGTCAAGAGATGATGGCCCAGTTGTAACACCAAGAAATACTGTACTTTTACCTTTTTTACTATTCTTTCCTTGAAATTGTTATTTTAGGCACAACACTATGTAAATTGGTTCATTCTTTGCATTTGTCCTTCACTTCACTGATTAAGTAGATTTCATTTTCATCTAATGTAAATTGGGAGCCCATATTTTCTTGAAGAAAAATAGGGGTCCAAATTGGGGTCCAAAGGGTCCAGATTGGGATTCAGAAGGGGTCCAGATGGGGGTCCAGAAGGGGGTCCAGAAGGAGGTCCAGAAGGGGGTCAAAAAGGGGTCCAAAAGGGGTCCAGATGGAGGGGTCCACATTTTGGTCTGACACATATCTAGATAATAAATTAGTCTTATACATGTAATCAATTTATAATAAGCACTTTCAAATCTATAGATCACACAGCAAAAGAAGTAGGCAGGCGAAAGGGTACATTGAATGACTCAACTGTTAGTGACATTGGCAAACAACCTCCTGCTTGATCTCACAATATATTATGACTTTACATCAAGATTTACAATACACCTCTCACTAAGTTATTTGTGAAACCATATTTCTATAAGGCTGCAGAAACACAGAAGCTGCTGAGTAGATGTAATTCAAAGAGACTAAATATTTTGATAATAATATTGCAATAACAAAGTGATTCTTGTTCCTCCTTTTCTTGGGATTTTCCAAGAGAAATACAAAAAATTTTCTTTATGCACCTATCAAGTTATAGAAATACTCTTGAAAGTTTGGAAGACCTCAAAAAGGCAGTGGGCACACTAGCAAATGGTTTGTGTTCTCATAGTATGCCATGTTCTCACAAACTAGGGAAGAAGACAGAAAGGTTTTCTCTTTGTGAAAAGTGACATGTCTTTCAGACTTACCACAGTAAACTTGATTAGATAGCGAGTTTGAATTTCTGGATCAGGACAGTCAAGTTTTCGGACAATCTCAAAGCTCTGAAATGTAACAATTATAACAACTAATAAGCTAAATGATTCTCTATATGCCAAAACAATACGAATATCATCAGTCATGAAAATATATTATGTAGAATGTATGTTACAGTAACACATCAAGCAAAAAACAGAGCAACAGTGTCGATGCAAATAGAATTGTGACACTAGACATTCAAGAATAAAACATTCTTTTCTTCCCTTAGGAGTTCTTATTGTGTGAGCTGAAATTGCAAAACTCACATCGAATACCAGAGAGCCAAAATGGAGGATAATCAGAGCAAATTCTTACCTGGTTCAGTGAGCAGAAAATGTCAACCACTGAGTTTGAGAACAAAGTGTGTGGAGAACTGGTAGGAAACTGCAAAATACATGTAATAGAAATGAAAATTAAATAATTTTAAACATTACAAAACATTCTTTTATAGGATAGCTTACCTTCAAAATTGGTCAAGACACTTTTCCCCCAAAAAAGGAAGAAATTAATTAATACATAATAATAAATTAACTTTCAAATTGACACTTTGACATACCCCATCTCGCTTGTCTCTTTCAAGTGCTCCAATCATAAATTCCATTGAGACTTCATCATTCTCAGTCAGCCACTGTGAAACAAATGGCTCAAACCAGCTACAAGACAAAAAACAAACCACACCAACAAAATTAATGAACTCATTATAATTATTCTAGTAGTACCATAGGCCCCCACTGCATACAGGCATTATAGCTCCCTGCAGGCACTGTGCCTCTTATGCTAAATAGTAATATTGGTACAATGACTATAAAAGAAAATAAAAATCACACTGTTTTAAAAACTTCCACTTCAAAACACTTGTGATCATGCTAGTAGGTGTCTAACATTTACAGCTTATCAGTTAGGTTCACTGTAACTGTATCATTGACGCTCACAATGCAGTCTTATTTAAACATTACCTGGGATATTCTGGCACTTTGCCTTTGTGTTCTGGACAATGACTGACAAACTCACTGTAAAACCACTTGACCTATAAAAAAGATGGTCGATGGTATTATTACAATTTAATGACAAGAATTTCTTTCAACTAGCATTCAATTAACTTTTGATTTTTCCAGCTGACTGTAAATAGGGGGAATATGTCCTGAAAAGTTTCAATTTCAAGATTTGGAAATTTGGAACAGGTGCTTCACTAGGACATCAGTTTAAACTTGAAACAGAAAGTCTTTTGGTTAAAAAAATAATCAAACATGTTAAACACGCAGGCATCATCGTAAATAACTTTTATACCTTGAAGTGAAGGTTCATATAATCAGCACTACTCCATCGAGACTGTTGTCGAATGTTGTGTTCTGAAAATTACACATTCAAGAATTAAATTTATTTATTTATTTTATTTGCCACACAAAATAGTACAAAAACATAAGAAAAAACTTATACTTATGCAAAGAGACCTAAAAGAAACTAGTCCAGAATGTTCTAAGTTGTCTTTAGTCCAGTTTTTGCTTAAAGCAATTTATGGTTCACTTATAAATTGAAAAGCTGCAATACCTTTCAACATCTCCTGGAGATCAGAACAAAACATGTTCCAAAACACCTGTGCACTGACTTCTCCCACATTCAGTTCAGTTGGAAACCTGTGTGAAACATTGAAACAGGTTTAAACATCACAGATCACAAACTGGCATAAGTTTTTTCTGACTACACTCAGACTTTGTCTTGTATTTCAGTATAATTATACTATAAAAGTGGTACATACTGGTTGAGAACTTGCGTATAGATACTCTTATCTTCCTCGATCACTGACACAACCAGTGAAATCAGTTTTGGCCAGAAATCCAGGTTCTTAGGGCCAGCTGGTATACCATTTCGGTCCAAAGAGGTGCTCTCTGAAGCAAGCTCTCTGTCATACAACTCTGCACAGTTTGCATAGAGGTATGCATAGCTTCCTTTCATGCAGTTCTGTAACAAAGATGGAATAAAGAGATAGTTAGGATGATCTCAGCTACAACAAAGATATCTTGCTCCAATCTTAATAACTAGACTTAAACTTACAAGTACATTCAATGTCCGAAGTAGTTCTAATCTATTTCTTCTTTAATTTCTTTTATTTTGTTTCATTGTTTACTTAACAGGTATAGTTACAATAATTAATAAACAATTGAAAGTAAGATAAGCATTGTGTATTTTTGTACTTGTTTTGTACTTACAGGTGTACATGACTGTATAAAACCCTTAAAAAGATAAATCCCGAGTCTGATGTGTTACACTCAAAGTAATTAGTAAAGAAGGCAATTTTTACAGTTACATACTAATAGAATCTCATTTTCCAACCCTCAAGAGAACCCCTGATTTGATACTTGAATAACTATTAGTAAGCACTTATTTCACCCTAACCACAGGAATTATTACTGACCACACCATTGAGTTTGTCTTCTACTATTGAATCAAGTTGCCATAGCAACTAGCACTAACCTTAACACATTCACGCACAATTTCTGCTGTCCTGGTGGGTCGCTGACCAAGGACCTAAAAAAATTTATGAGGAGAGTCAGAAAGTCCGGTAAAAAGTTAGAAAATTGTATGCATGGTGCATCCCTTAGAGTACTACACTCCTAGATTGAGATTGGGCAAAGCAGAAGCAAGATGTCTGAACTGGATCTGACATTTAAAATTATTTTAATTTAATACTGAACAGCAAAATGTCATTGGACATAAAATTACTAGACAAACCTTCATTCTGAAAAAGGTGACACTCGTTAACAGATCAACTGAGGACTTTAAATCAACAAGTTTCTCAGCACTAGATGATGGAAAGTTTGTCTAAAATCCAATCAAAAGAATCACAAGTCACAATAACATTATCATGATAAATGATTATTATTAGGTATTGGTGCATGTTTTCCACAGAGGGTGACAGATAAATAGAATCAACTATTATTATATGTTGCCTAGTGTTTGCATATTGACTGTGTCTAGTTTAGTTACCAATGCATTACTGACAATAATTTACCACTGGGCACATGCTAATAATTTGAAAGAACACAATATATTGCAAACTGTACATGAACTTATTAACAATCGTGACTGGTGGAAGTCTGACTAGTTGGCTATTAACAATAGTCATGACTACCATGTACGTCCTTCTTGTTTTCCCGAACACACTCTCTTGTTGAGTCTTGGAAAGGACACACTACAGACCTATTATTAGCAAATCCAACAAATTAAAACAAAAAAAGTTGCAAAACCTTACCCGGTAATTGGCAATGTCAATTCTCAATGTGTTGTAAAGATGATCCACGATCTTCACAAACTTTTCACTCTGGAAAAACAAGGTTTACACCTGTGAACCACTTTTTTCAGCACAGTTGGAAGTTAGCATTAATTGTCCTCTATAGTGAATTCAAGTGTCATGTATAATGGCTTAATTTCATGCTGTGCTGGTTTTTTCCCAGGTTACACATCACTACAGGGCCGTAACTCATAGCACCTGTTGCAACTTAGCATGTGATATTACCAGTGAACTTGGCTGTACATGGTTGAAACAGTTCACCCACAAAGTGACAGGTTTGTTACAGGTATGAAGATGAATGCTACAGGTGAGTCAAAACTTGTTTCATGAATGACAGCCCAGCACTACACAGGGCTTCTAGAAAGTACTACTTAGTTGTAGCTTGTAGGGAATAAACATAGGCACAGCACAATCAGATACACCACTTAATCCTGCTTAATTTGACAAACAAGGCCACCTCATACACCATATTCTTACCCCAAAGTTTGTTGAGGTGAATCTGTGTGAAGCAGACGTGGCAGAGTTTGTCGTGGTGTGAGAAAAGAAAGCATTTATGTTTGCAAGCAAACTGCTGATGACGGCAGGGACACCGGGACACATGTAACACGCTGTAAGACAGGACAAGTGACTGAAAACAGAAAAAAACAAATCAATGTTAACAACCATATTAACTAGTGACATGCGAAATGAGGTTGTTTCCTGATTAAAGGAGTGATTAAGTCAGACCAGACATGGACTTACGTCATTGCTTGGTAGATACTTTCAATTCCATATCGCATGGCAAACTCATTCACTATTTCAAGAGCTGGTTGAGGAAAAAACACTTTCCATGGATCTTCTCTCTGTAACAAATTAACAAGAACACAGAATACATTTAAATGAATTAAAAGAAATTTAAAACGTTGCAATTTGTATCATAAACATTTGTAAATTTGTAAACTAAAATCCCAAGAACTTACTGAACTAGAACACGGAAGAGGAACTTGACCATTGTTCTTTTCACACAGAAAATGGAAGACATTCTGCAAGAAAATTAAATACTAATTCTCAATAATTACTGCACACTGTCAGATCAAAATTAGTCATAAATATCAAAGCTAAAAACTGGGCTAACTTAATATTCCAGTCCAAAAATTGTTTTGGGTAACCACACTTCCAAGTTGAGGATAAAATTCTCAAAAGTTAAAGCTATAGACTAGTATGAGAAAGAGCTTTTATGGTAAATAAGGAAAGTTAATTAATGATATGTATTGTTTCTGATAATCACCTCATGAAGACAGGTGTACTGTTGATGATATGGTACAACCTTCTCTTCTCCTTTGATCTCAATACGTATTCTAAGACGTATTGCACCAGACACAGCTGACCTGTCTGTTCTCTTTTCTGGAGAAAACAAACATGCTACCATTAGTGGAACAACGTACAACATACTGTATTTCTAAATTACTGTATAAATCAACATGTATTTATAAACATAATTTGGGAAACAAAAGGAAGCAAAGCAAAGCAGCAGAAGAAGTCCATGTACTGCAAACTATGCAGCCAAAGAGAACAACATCAGGCTACTGCTACAGAGTTCAACCTGGGATTTACTTTTATGAGAAATAGTTCCAATGTGGTTTGAGCTCAAGCACTATTTGTTTTGAGTTGTCACGTATTGACAAACATGGTTTGAGTTATCGAGACTAAAATTATGTGAAAATGATCTGAAGCGAAATGAAAATTGCTTCGAGTTAGCGGGAGGTTCGAGTTATCAAGGGTTTGAGTTACTGAGGCTAAAATTACTAACAGTAACTGTATGACAGAAATCCAGGGGAAATTGACTTTGGTTTGAGTTTGAAGGGGGTTTATGTTAGTGAGGGTTCGAGTTATTGGAAGTCGACTGAAAACATATTTGATGGTGGGCTTTTACAACAGATGTGGTAGCTGCAGCGGCGTAATGGTTAATGTATCATGGGAAAGTAACATTACTCCTAATATATATTATTACTAACATGTACTTCATGGTACTGACACCATGAGATGTTTGGACACTGTGAGTAAGTTAGTCAAAGTGAAACTTTATATTTTCAGGCTTTCGTGCAAAAAGGGCATATATAGCTTTTTAGGCCAACTTTATTTTCTGCAGGATCGAGCTAATTTTTGGCAGACTGACTTGTTTTGACATGAAAAGCATCGTTACGTAATTGTTTTTGCTGATTTGTGCTTCGTTTTCGAGAAATAACGTATGCCAAAAAACTCAGTGTTCCAAGGGTATCTTTTGGAGATCTTTTGTTGAGCAAAAAACAAAAGAAACCTTTTGTTTAGCTAAACGATGAAGCCACCGAGGTGTGGCATTTGCCGCTAGTTTTATTATTCATATAATTACACTATTCTCTTACTGTTGCTTCGTTAGGGCATTCGAGTTTGTTTTGTCATGACATCGGTTCGATACGAGGTCGGTCGATTTTTTTTTCTGGTCTATTTCTCTACTTCTTTCAAAAATCAAAACATCTATTTAAAAAAAACTGTGCTGTCGAAGCTGCTAAAAGTAACAGTTTAAGTTCGAGCCACGTCAAGATCCACCTTCAAAGGATTCACTCCAAAACATGCCACTCAGAAAACTGAATCTTTTTGCATACGTTATTTCTCAAAAATGAAATGCAAATCAACAAAAACAATTACACAACAATGCTTTTCATATCAAAACAAGTCAGTCAAAAATTAGCTTGATCCTGCAAAAAATAAAAATCGGCCCAAAATGTTATATATGCCCCTTTTGCACAAAAGTCTTCATTTAGCTTTTAGCTTTCACCAGCTGACACTTAAACAACATTATAGCATACCCAGATTGTACCACACATCCATCTCTCCACTGAGTGTCCGCACTTCAATGATTGTCTGCCCAAGGAAGTCATCAGGCTCTCTGATCAGTTTTGATCGTACTCTGGCTTTGATATCATCATCTTCATCCCTGCCATGAAATAATACAAAGACAAGAACTCCTGTTTACATCATGTCAGGAAAATATTGCTCTATTTTTACATCTTTTGTGTTTCTATAAAGGTTGCAGTAACAGAAAGTTCATGAAAATGCTGTGGAAACGCATTTGCCTCATTAAATTAATGCTCCAAATAACATTCCGTTTCCACTGAGTTGCAGTAAAATAAGGCTTATTGCTTTTAAGCAGGTCAAAGTATTTTGCAATATTTCAGTTTAGCTACTGTTTATTGCCCTTAGTTAGACAGCAGTGTTGTACATTTTTTAATCAAGTATTCTTTTGATTTCATAAAGTAACCATAAATTAACTATTACCTATTTTTGATAATACTCACCAAACCCGCACTTTGATTCTATCAGATGAGTTGTGACACTCACTGTCCAAGAAGAAAAAAGAATGATGCAATGAATCAAAACACTGTTTGCATTGGCACAGTTGTTCTTTCAGAAAAAGGACATGTAGGCATCTCACTTCATCCTGGAAGTATACCTTTACACTACAATCAAATCTCCTTGATATCTCTAGCTTCCAGTTAGCATATTATGGGAAGGAAGAGGAGAGATGGGTACTTGGGTAGGTGTGTAGTTTAAAATCAAACTTTTACTTATGTAATTTTACAGTGTTCATGCAACCCTACAATAGCTCAGTTGCAAGANTCTTTGTTGGTTGTCACAGCAATCCTGAAATAACATGAGCGTTCGCATGAGCCTGGGAAAAACTTGCAATTGTGCTGGGTGAGATCACTTCTTATGTAAGCCGCAAACAAACATTCAATAAATAAGACTTTGTGCACAATTAGTAAGCCTCAACATACATGATTGTACGAATTACCCAGCTAACACTTCACTTTACCTGTGATGAATATTTTTGCCAACCACTTAGAAGTTCCATCTAGGATCAAGTTTTTGACAGCTTTCATGTGTCCAGCATGTGTTTTGGGCACCATGTGGAACACTTCACTAAATTTTCAATAAAAAAAAAATACAGCAACTATGAATACCATATTTTGGTACAAGTTACTGTGATGTGGCAGCTGGCCAGGATTACGATGCAGTTATTCATGGCAGGGCATCATTTTTTCTTACCTTAACTCCCTTCCCTCAACTTCTCTGAACTTCAAAACAGAATTTGGCTTTGGCATTATATAATATTATGATATTAATTTAATATATAATTAAGTTAATGGATAAAAAATAAAATATTTGACCCTCGGCTTAAAACTAAAATTTAATTTAATTCTCTTTGCTGGGAACTACATGCAATATTGAAAGATAACAGGCCAATTCTGATATATTAAAATTCTAACTTGGCTCCGAGGCTTAGGGGAATAAAACAAAAGAAATTAATTATTCATCCCTCATCCTCAATGCAATTTCTTTTGTTTTATTCCCCTAAGCCTAGGAACCAAGTTAGAATTTTAATATATCCGAATTGGCCTATTCATATCATTCAATGTGTTTATCAGAATTGGGTTCCTATAAAAACACCCGAAGAGAAACTTATTGCAAGGATCTGGCACTAAATCAAATCAATATAGAATACATAAATCATGCCTTTTTTCATCTTGCTTTTCTGTAGCACATTTTAAAAATTAAAGTCTATGCACCTGATTTGCTCAAATATTTCCGGTCTAGTTGCTTCTCTGGATTCCATTCTTGCCTTCATAGCAACAATGATGGAATGTGTTTTGTCATCTGTACCGTGTTTAGCTGATTTCTCAGCGGCACCTTCAAGAATCAATGCACAAAATGTAAATTAATCTAAAAAATAAAATAAATATTAATCTGATTCGTATGAATGAATAATTATTAAGAAAAACTTATGTTTCAGTGACATAATACTGTGATGGCAAGGAACAACTTACGTTGTAAGCAATCAGCATTCAGTAAGTCCTTACACCTCTCATGACATTTGACTCCACACTCTGAAATCAACAAAACATTTTTATGACTGGGATTAACTTTGTCTTTACTGACTGACTGACTGATCGACCAACCGGCAGACAAGCACACAGATGAAAGGAGCAAGTCAACTTAAGTTGCTCAAGCAAATAAATTCTGCATGTATTGAATCACATGCATGCTAAAAGCCACCTCACCCTTTGTATCCACAATTTTCATTTATCAGTGATGTTTCAGAAGCATGACTAGAGCTCTACATGTATGTTGACCTGGCCAACTGAATGATGACCTGGATAAGCTAAATGGCTGGTTAGCTGGCTGGATGTATCATTAACTCACTGGGTGACTGATCAATCCCACTGCTTGATGATAGCATGAGCTAACTGTCTGAGCTAACTTACTGGATCACTGGCTTGCTATTCACCTTTGCATTTAAGACCTTGTCTTGCCAGACCCCAAAGAAGACCTTCGCATTCATAGCAGTAGGCAGGCACTTGAGTCGACCAAATCTCAAATCTGTGAGGTGTGGTGTCTAAAACAAAGAATGTAAGAAGGAATTCCAAGTCAGGTGGGTGTAAAATAATGCAAAACTGGTTCAGAACTGAATATGGCACCGACAAGGACACGATGACAGTATTGAAAGCAAATCAATTTAATTACCTGATATGGGATAAATAAGTGCCTGAAGCGTCTTCTTATAAACATGCAGTTTCTGAAAAAAAAAAAACATTGTGAGGAGATAAACTGAATAGTAACTTAATACTACATTATAAAACTAAACACAGTAAGTCATATTAAATTATATAGTAGACACTTTAAACATACCAGCTCTTCATCATTCAAATGAGCTCTTTGTGACATCATCATGTGAGGTTTTCTTATCTGTTTTGTGCTTGGTTTTGGTTGCTGTAAATAACAGAAAGAAACAAACAGGTCAGGCTGCTTGTTGTGCAAGTACCAAAACTAAACTATTTTTCTGCTAAACTATTTTCATTGGTAGTAATCCCAGACCCATCCCCTCTCCCCTCTCCACACACACACTTAAGGCTACAAAAATCTAATGTGAAAAATCAAAATCTTTCTGTCTGTCTCATAATAATGTTCCTGCCAGCTTTTTCCAAGACACAGGCATGAGACTTTTGTCCTGGGAGTGCCAGGGCTTATCAAGACAACCCAAATAATGATCTGATGACATCCGAAGATTTCCAGCGACTTTCATGATTTCCACTCCCCATCCAAAAGATGTAATTCACCAAAAATAACACTATCCACAGCCCTTTAATGTCCTTTGAAAATCAGAGAATTGGGGAAAGTGTGTCATCATCATCAACTTTTCTTGCTTTTCAAGTTGACATATTTTCAAGTTAACATATTTCAAAAAATTACGAGTCTGTTAAGACTGTAATAGCTCAAATTTTTTAGCCAGGCATGAGAACTTTTGCCAGTAGGTATGAGTGAATACCACATCAAAGTGTTTGACCTTCAGGCATATTTGTGCCTAAAGCAAGAGAGTTCACAGGTATATAATAACCATCCAAAAATATAAATTCATGCACTTACTCTTAAGGAAAGTAACTTACTACAGGTAGTACTTCTAATTATTGTAGAGCTTGTACTGCATTTTACAGCATGCTCAGAGACTTGCAATGTTCATATGACAATAGTCTTAGGTTTCTTATTGTTATTTATGTAAAGTTTTACTTAAAATATGGATATTCTTGAGCAAACATATAGTATATCTAAAATTGTTCAGACGCAAGATTTCTTGCAAGTATGAGCCCAAAGTAAAATTTATTTTGCTAATGAGCTCCATCCCCCGTGGCTTTATCAGACTTTAACAGTATACAGTCTCAAAACATATCAAATCAAATGACTGCTTCCTAGAAAAATGACAAGTTTTAAACTAAACTTACAAAGGGAATTGAGGGTCTTCTTTTCCTCATCAGAGAACTAGAATTTGCAGAGTTGAGAAGTTCTTTAGTTTTTTCATCCCTGAAAGGTAATAAGGAAAATCCATCACTAATTTGACATGTAACAGTTCTATGACTAAACAAAACTATTCTAAATCAATTTATGAGATTATATTAGCTTTCTATTATAATCTACCTCTCTAAATAAAACCAACATAATTTTCTTGTTACATGTGAGAATGTTATTTTGAATTTGAAAACTATTTTCGAAAATACATCAAAGAGAATAATAGTGTGGGCTTCAGTCAAAACAGTTCAGACATTCTACCCTCAGTATTGAAGCAATAAGGTATAAATTACGAGACACTAAAATATATTGAATTCATTCTTTGTTTCAATATTTCATTCTTTAAATTTAAATCGCAATATATTGAAACCACAAATTATTTGATTTAACACTCTACTAATATTTATAAGAGTAACATAATGGTTTCATCAGCGAATGGCACTGCAGAACTCAACCAGAATTTATATAATATTAGCTATTAATAACAACGTTCAAATATGACACGCAATTTCTACTCATTTTGTTCCTCACAATAACAAAACAGAAGCAAAGCAGTTTCGTGCATGGAGGGAGCTGGAAAAAGTCAGTAATGAAAACAAGAATGATGTGGTTCCAGAAAATATACATACCCCCCCCCCCCCCCCCNCCCCATGAAAGGGATTAAAAATTCCACAGGGGTAGGGGCGTTAGAGGCTCAATAAATTCACGGGTGGCGGTGGTGTGGGCGGTGTATCAATTATTTTTTTCCAGACCGGTTGATAATGTTCAATTTTCATTTGTGTGCATTTAGCTTCCCGAACCGCGGACACAAAAGTAAGTCTTGTTAACAGCACAAAATGATCATTGTCATCGCGGTTAGGCTCGATTTCTGTCGCCATTTGAGTGTGGCCATTTACGACCATTTACACGACAAGCGGTAGGTGAGCGAAGCCCATGTTGTTGAAAGTAGACAAGTAAATCCTGTCCTGTAAATTACAATCGCTTGAATGTCTGCCACTACGAACTTCGTCTTTGTCGGCAGATATTTACGTCACAGTTTCTTGTTGTCGTTCGCCAGCATGAAAAACATTCTTTGAACTAAATACAGTAATTACGTCCCGTCAAAACATTATCCGATCCCGCCAAGAATAATTCTTCGAGAACTAAGCAAAACCACTAACAGTTATAGTTCAGGAGGCGAATACTATTCGTAACAAAAACTACACGTGCGATGTAAAAATAAACGTCTTACAGCCCGGACTTGCAGCTTCAAAACATTAACATTTTCGCATAAAAGGACAAGGGAACAAGTTCTTCCATACCTACCCATGGTGAATCACGCAATAATTACATTTGCACTAAATTTACACAAAAGTGAAGGTATCCCAAGTAATGCAAGTGAAGTCCAGGACGGGAGCGTGCACGGCATCAACCATTACATCGTTGTATTCAACTTTGTTTTCAGAACCTTCCAGTGTGTGCACTGATGTTATCGAACGCAGGCATGCTGCTTTGCAAAGTCATTTTCGGCAAACTTTGCATTACATAAAAACATCTAATATGTTACAATACAATTCTGTTATTCTCCAGAGTCAGTCAACATCATCATAGCTAAAATGAAAAAATTATGCAAGTCCGAAAGCATGTCAAATTTTCCCCGCCAGACGACGAGACGCTAATTGTTGCGGAAAAGACTGAATCATTGTACAAACAAAAATTGCGAGAAAGCGAGAAACGTCCTTTTCAGGCTATCGCAGTTATTCTTTGCAGGTCAAGACGTCCAAGACGAGATTTTTCAACAGCCAAACGAAATGTAATCTGAGACGCAAAATTCTTCTGAAAAACGTAAATACAGCATGCAAATTGGGCGCACCGAAATTTGATACAAAATGTTGATTTGATTGTTAATTGTGTCTAGAAACCCGGAAGTCTAAAATTGTTTTAGAATTTCCGCGGACTTCAAGTTTTATTTTGGCCTTGCAGTTGAGGAAATTTTCGAGCGTGGGCATACTATAAAATCTTGAGTTTTCGACACTTGAAAAATTTTCGCGCTTTGACTCCGGAGTGAACTGTTTCCAAATACTAGTATCCTCACAAATTTCCGTTGCAGCACTCTGAGAGTACTCGATATTTGTTCACAAATGCCAAGCGATTCTAGACTAAGAGTAGTCTACCCTGTGAGCAGAGGTCCCTTCGATCTTCCTTCTTTCGCTTAGTCCGCCGTGCGTGACACGAAAGAAAACCGCGAGAAAAAAACATTGGCCGCATTCGCGTCACGCACGACGGACTAAGCGGAAGAGGAACAACTCGTAGTCTAAAGTGATTCTAAATAATGTTTTGGTTTTGTAGTGGACGAATTCTCTTAATAGCTTCGGCATACTATAAAAATCTTGACTCACGGGTTTTAATTTGCGAAGATATTATTGTAAAACAGTTGACTCCGGAGTCAGAGCACGAAAATTCCGTGGAAATTCTATAATAATTTCAGACTGCCGGGTATCTAGTTTTTTGAAAACACTCCCCGGCTGCTGGGTCTCTAGACACAAATTTTGTTTTTACTGGTGCAGTGTAAAGCGTTTCTTTCCAAGCATTTGTTTCTCAGTGCCCTTGAAAGCGAACTTGCATTTTGATATCTATTCCTTATCCAAGTGCTGCTGTTTTGTCAGGAAAATGAAGCGGAATTGGTTGCATAACTGACGATATGCATTTGTGATAGTATTCATCACGCGACTCGACGTATCTTTCTGCTGATCACACTATACGCTGATTTACTACAAAACACACGTAAGCATCAAAATTCAGACTCTGGAACTATAAATTAGCTTAGTTCTTAATTTAACTAAAAACAAAAATATTTCCAGTGGGTGTGCAAAAAAATTGGAAATTGTTTCAGAGGGGAGACGGGTAGATCTTCTGGTCAGATTTTAGAAATTCCAGAGGGAAGGTGGGCTCACATGAAAAATCCCTTCAGTGGGGGGTATGGATGTTTTCTGGACCTACACAATTCAAAATATGCTCCTTGGTCCCAGTAATGTGAGGATAGTTTCCAAGAGCAAGGCATTGGACATAAATGAAAAGATGAATGAGAAAGCACCCAGATTGGGGGGTGGGGTACTCCATATAACAACCTATACAAGAAGGCTCCGCTCAAAAGGGGTGCCTTTTTTGGTTTTCAGGTATAATATGTAGATTTAGCTGTCTAAAAGTGGAGCTTCTGGGCCGGGTTGTTTAGAGCCTGATCCAAGATAAGCCAGAATTTTGGTTTGAGCATTCTAGTGCAGAATGCACTATTGGGATGGTTTAGGGGGCTGCTGTTTGTCAAAGCACTAAGCCATAAGGCACTAAGGCACTAAGGTACTAAGGTACTAAGGTACTAAGGTACTAAGGTACTAAGGTACTAAGGTACTAAGGTACTAAGGTGTAAACTTTAATGTTTGTTTAATTAATTAATCTCACTATTATTAATTAATTACCATTGCGACAAGAGGGTGGGGTGGGTTAGGTACCTGTGTGCACTATGTAAAACATGTTATACCTCCCTCCATTCATTAATAACATCAACGCTATACATTTGTTTCAGAAAATCCCTTGCTCTCCTTGTGGTACTATTCTCTTTAAAACAAAACCAATTAGCTCTAACCGAATGTGCAGATTAGTTATTGTTTGTGTCGACTATACATTGGGTGGAAGATACATTGCATACGGGATCACACACAAACGTTAAGTGCTCTTCCTTGTTGTAGAACCCAACATGTAAGACGCATGCATTCTAGCATCGTTAGGGCTATACACTCTGTTTTCATCCCCAAAGCCACACAGTTATTGCTATATCATGTGATGTGACCGAGGATGGCAGTTATTTTTCAGGTAGTACCACTTCTCCCTTCCAAGAGCAAAAAACACTACTGTGACTTTGTCTCTTTTGGAATTACCTCTATGTCGGTTCAACAAATATCTGCTGTTTGCAAACTGTGTGTTTGTCAGGGTCAGATAAAAAAGGGAAATGCGTTGCTCTTTCTTAGAGGCTTGTTAATTTCTTCCTTTAATTGTCTCTTCAAGAGAGACCACAAATTTCCCAAATTAGTGGCATTACAACTTGTCAAATTGTAAATTTGTGACAAAAGAAACCAGGAAAGTGCTTAAATATTGCTACAGACTCCGTGGCACCTAATGAAAGCGGAAATTAATTAAATCGCACTTTAAAGCAGTGAAAAAAGAAAACAAGCACATCTCTGTGTTTTAGAGCAAATGAGGGATTCATTTTACATACCTTCGCGAGGAAAACAAAAGTATCAAGTTACAAAATTGTTGTGAAAAGTTAAATTGTCACGATTGCTGCTTCACCATATTATGAATTTAAAAATTATAAATGGAAACAACGTAAAACACCAGAGTAAACAGTAATTGTGAGCCTTTTTCGAACCTTGAATTAAAATACTATACACACATGAAACAAGCACACAGCTAAGATTGTCTTATCAAGGTTTCTGTCCATTCATATTCTGCAAGTTAAGGGGAAAATACAAACCAGGAGTGGACCGGGCAGGGGATCTGGAACCTGTGTGACTACTGTGCCAGAGCTATCAATTGCATTCTGCAGTATCTGAGAATGTCTCAATAGTTTAAAGTGCCTATGAAGTAAAAAATAATTGCTGCTTATTTGAAAGGCTTTTCAAAGTAAAAAAGAATGGCGTTTTCGTTTTTGGAATATCTTCTTTCGTTTTAGACATATTCACAGTTTTGTATTATGCAAATGAGGAAAGTGATGACATCATAAATAGTTCAACTTAAACAATAAAACACTGAATAAAGAATATCTCTGGAAGTATTGGAGCAGTGTTCTTCAAACTTGACACCAGAAATGTGTATCACAAAAGAAACAGAATGAATGCTGCCATGGCAACACTCTTGGCTCCAGTCTCTTTCTGTGAAAAACCAAGCATCCCCATTTGGTAAGCTTACCACACTTTTTGTCTGCCATAAAACTGTCAGCACAGCTGCTGTTATCAGCTGAAGATAATATATGATCACGACAAATTTGGAGCAGTTTTTTTAGATGCACTGGACATGATAAGCTTTCCTCTTGAAGATAAACATGTTCTGAATGAACAATACGTAATACAAAAAAGTCATGATGCTAAACAGAAAAACCCTCTGCACATGGTGCATTTCAAAATACCACGTGGTTGGTTTGAAACAAACTCGTGGCATCAAAAACGCGGCAAAAAAATTTGTGGGTGTCATGGTCTACTGGGAAGAGTAGTAAGAGAAAAATTTAAACTTCAGTTAACTTTTAATCCAGGGTGAGTGGTCGGGTCAGTGTTATCTGGCTTCCGAAAAACCCAGTGATGATTACAGTAAGTTAACCTGGCTTGAGCTCACAATCCAATCAAAAAACTAGTACTTGGTCTAAACTTGAGCCCACAATGTGGTCACGTGATACTGGTTAGCAGATACCTGGATTTCACATGTGTCAATTGACCATAACAAGGATGTCCAATATCAAAGATGTATGCTGTAAACCAAAGCTGCATGTCTTGGTCAACTTATTAGCTGAAGTATGGCTGCCATGTTGCACGATGTCCCCAGGCGCACACACCCACGAGCAATACCGCAAGCCATGTTTACCATGAGAAAAGCGATTTACAGGTATCGGGCTATCATGAACCGGAACTGAATAAATAATAACTTTTTTTTGGTGTTAACACCTCCTCTGGTTATGCTTGATGTTCTCCCATAGTATTGATCATTGACTTCATTCCAAAGGGTTTAGAAAAGGAATACAGAAAGTACATGAAAAGGGTACCTTTTAAAAAGTGATAGCTAGTATAGCATAGCTAGAATGAGTTATAGCATTTAGCTGGGGAAAAAATAATTCACTCGCTCAGTCAGTCAGTCAGTCGGTCAGTCAGTTGATAGGTCATCCACCCCCGGGTGAGAGTCAAAAATGAATACGAAATAACAATACCAGGAGCATCTGCGTGTGGTTCCTGGAGATACTCTGAAACCTCCCTTTCGCCGCAGGGGTCCATTTCTGTCTGGGTTGTCATTATCATTATCATTATCACTTTCATTGCATTGCACTGGTTTCTTTAATGTTGCTTCCATTGTCTCTGGATCAAGCTGTTCAGTGACTACTACCTCCTCATCAAAGATTTCAGCTCCTTCTTCAACCTATGAATATATAATTAAAGACCAATACAGTAAATATTAAAAATAAATCTTTTCAATCTTTTTTTTTTTTTTTTTTACATTTTACATCCAGTTGTTAAGTTAAGTATTATTTATAACTTAGAGAGTAACTATTACTACAAATGTCAGCATGCACCCTTACAAGAAATCCAAGCTCAAACATTCAGATGGACAGCAGAGTTCAAAATAGACAAAAATGATATAAGGGCTCAAAACTTGGACTGGATCAACTCGGATTGCTGACTTAAGATAAATCCCAAACACTGCTAATTACTTGAATAAAATTAACATGACAGCTACTATAGATAGTACTGTGTTACACCTATAACTACATACAACATCTACAATCCTAGAGCCTGGCTACAAACTTATATGTTTTTTTTTTAATATATATATAAGCTTATATGGTTGACAGTAAGTTTAGAATCTTTGACAAACTAGCATTATATCCAGAGTTGAGGCAGTGATAAAACATATTGTTGCTTCATGCCATAGGAGCTATAGATGAACACCAATCTCCATTCACTTTCTAACGTGAGCAGACTCCGATGTCAAACTGTTACTTTTCAAAATCATCATCTTCATCAGCTCACTTTGCAGACCAGATCTTCGTGGATTTGTGGTCCCCGTGTTCTTTTCACAATTGTGAGAACTGCTTTCTTTCGGTGTCGTCTGAGACTTCCTTTTGCATGCCAAAGGCACCAGCAAGGATCACAAAAACCTTAATAAAACAACACAGGCAAAATTGAAGTTGAAAGAAGAAAAAAAACAAAAAGTACAGAAACAAGGAGAATGTCTTCCTGACAATAAAGGTATGAAAACTTTTTATATGAAAAAGAAACTTATTTATGCATCCAGCTGGTAAAACTGATAAAGTTCTGCTGTATAAATTACTGCTGTATCAAAAGTCACCTTAGAGTTACGTGACAAATTGCGTGACAGCTTGAGGAATATTAAAAAGGAATTGAAAAAAACCTTCAAGTGTTATGAAAGTTCCCTATATTTCATAAAAAATCTTCCATAACCTTGAAAACCTTTACTTTTCAAAATGAAAATGCAGCTATATTCTGCTTTTCGAACGATAGTAGTATCTTAGAATGTTGTTATCACAATTTAAACAATCGCTCCTAGCTAAAACCGCAAATATTTTCGACTCGATCTATCAGATTATGACATCTGTAAATCTGATGTTTCTTTGAAATCGTATGTTGTAGCCTTCTAGATTCAATTATTCCTTAACAAACGGTGCAAAAATATGAAATAACAAATAATTCTGTCGTGTTATGTTATATAACTAACACTGTCACGCAATATGCGCAAGATAGGGGGATTCCTCCTGCTGCCATAAAGTGCGCATCTGGTGTATCTGTTTTGCTGTAGCAAGACATTTTCTCCATTTAAAATGTAACTTTACTAAAGATTTTTAGAGCTTGGGTTAGTTTTAATTCAAAAGGGGGAGTAAAACTCTTCAAAAAGCGTACTCACCTAAACCACAAATCTCGCAATGAAACTCCTTCGTGCCATTCAGGCAGGACTCACAAAGACGCACCACGACCGACTCGATTGTATGTTGTCGTAATTTACCCTACAAGAAAACCAATTTAACCGCCCTTGCCATATTTTTGAGCCGAAAGGATAGCGCCTAAAACAAACACTAATTCATTCGAATAGCGAAGCATAAAGATTAAAATTTGTCTACCTTCAAATGGAAGATGAAGTGGCATCGAGGACAATATTTTAGTTGGCACTCGATGCAATAAACTTCTGCACTGCGATCCTCACATTGCTCACAATTTCTAGAATGTAAAAGTCCACTTGAACTGTGACATTCTGAAAATAAGCCTAAAATCGTAGGCCACTGGTACATGTATATGACAATAATAAACTAACAGAACTGGTACAATCAGAGAAGTAACGGCGCCCTTACAGAACGAAGGTTGATTTTTGATTCATTTGATTCATACTTCGTCGCTCGTTTTGTGAGCGAAAAGTTCTTGAGGAGCTTCCCTCTTGACCAGCGAGATAGTTCCACGGCTTAAACATTTCAAATTTGGTTAAAGAAGAACCAGGAATCGAAAATCGTTCTCATGTGACGGATTCGACTAACTAACACTTCTAAATCGTTGTGTGACCGACATTGGCGGGAGACCGGCGAGAGACCGGCGGGAGACCGAGTTATCAGCAAGGGGTCTGGATGTCAATGACCAACAAAACGATCATTCAAATAAGCATTCTGATTGGTGGAAATGTCAAAAGCAGTGAGTTTATTGAAATTTTTGTACAAAACATTGCTTGTCAACAAAATGACAAATTAATATGTTCCACCAAATTAAAACTTGCTGATTTGAAAGCACTAAGGGACGAACCTATAGGGGTAGATTTAATAGGGTTGCACCCCTCCCCCAGAGAACATATACAGATATTGAGGGGGTTAAAATCTGATGTAGAGCAAGGCCCTCTGCAAGGGTGCCACAGTAGCCTAACAGCAAGTTAATTTTTTTTCTTTATTAGCCCACTTGAGTTAATTTAAGCACTGACCAGGGTCTCACTGATCAGGGTCATTGTAATGACAACAATATTTACTGTCACAGTGCCTGTCTTCATCCCAGAGAATAGATGGGTGCCACAAAACTGTTCAGGAAAGCAGACAAAGTTGGGAAGTGGTTTAGAGAGTTAGGATTTAAATCTGGAGGTCCCTGCTTCAAATCCTCCAACCCTATCTCCAGCAAGCGCCGATGTGACCTACTTTTTCTCATGCACCTGCTATACAGTCTATACCACCCACTAGAACTTCTCGGCCCTGATTCGTAAATACCCAACTGGTCAGCATCCCACCAGTTGGGATCCTTGGCATGTTTCTGTTCTTTTGGCAATATTTGTTCTCATATCTAGCATCCTCCATTAGCACAGAAGTGCTAATGTGTAAACATTTAATTATAATTTTTTTTTTTTAATGTTTGATCATAACTTGCCCTTGGCTAGAAAAACATCCAAGGGGGTAGCAAAGTGTCTAGAGCCTTTTCATTTAGAAAACTAGACAAGCCCACCATTGTTTGATCGAAGCAAAAATTTGGCATGGCTATAAAAGCCAAAAAAACTAGCCTGCGAGCAGGCTCCCATGTGTTGCGGCAGGAGCATAGCTCAAGAGATGCATCAGCAAGTGAAGCGAGCTGGCTCAAGAAATGAGAGCCTGCACAGAAGGCATTGTTTTCCAAATACAATGCGTTCATTCTGATTGGTGAAAAATGACAGGTCCTATTAATATGGCCAAAACCAGCGGCATTTATCAAACACAAACATGGCTTGGCATCCGAGAAGCCAAGTATGGCATTTAAACTGGAGGCTTTTCGAAACCTTCCCATTGAAGCAAATTATCTGGTTGATCTAAAACACGGACAGGAAAAAGCTGTGGATTGCCTTTCAGAAGGGATGTTTTTGCAGTTATGCCAACTGGATGTGGTAAACATTTTATATTTCAACTATTTACAACTGCAGTGATGATCAAGAAAGTTCACAAAGAGCGACATTCCAATACTGTAGTGTTAGTGACTTGCTCACTAACCAGCTTAATTCAGGATCAGGTAAAGAAGGGAAAATCACTTGGCTTAAAGATGTCCAAGATTTGTCCAACGTTGTGGGCGGCAAAACACAAGCATCAACCCTTGAAGCAAAAGATCTCAAACAATACCATTTTGTGAAAACACCTCTCTCAACTTTGTATGACAACTCTGTGTCAATCAAAGATCTGAAGCACAAAATTGTACATTTATTTGGCCCTCCCTTCGATATCATGCACAAGTTGTTGTCAGTGAAATGTTCTAATTTATTATGACTTCTAAGTCTACCTTTAACATTGCTTGATGCATTTATCAAGACACACCAAACACAGACCAAAAGAACAACTTTATTCAACATGTGAAGGTGAATTAATCAACATGACACGAGCGTGGGACAAAGAAAAAGAAAAATTCTGAGTCCCTGACAGGAATCGAACCCATGACCTCCCGAACACCGGGCGGGCGCTCTATCCACTGAGCTACGAGAACTCATGGAGA